AAATTATGTATATACATATAATAAATAGAAATACAATTCAGTTACATTGGAAATTAAATATCAATTATTGATATAGTGAATATTCGTACATCAGCTCAGCAAAAATAAAATAAAAAAAAAAAAAACAAAATTAAAACTCTAGTGTGAGAATTGTTTCTATGTTTCACGTAAATTCACTGCAACACAAACGGTTTGATAATGGAATTTAATCTAAGATGATCTATTAACGTAGGTTCGAAGCATTTAAGGAATCATGAATGTGATCATTTCTACGAAACAATATCCCTTTCCTTTTTTATAAAAGATTTATTTGCAAATAAATTGTGGGATAAAGAAGATTCACAATATATTTCCTGTACAAAATTAGCAATAAAATCTGTCAATCCACTTTTACCCACATTATAATTTTTATTATTTTTCGTAAGACATTTATTCTCCATAAAAAAAAGTATTCCTTAGTTTTATCAGGATCCCGAAAACTTTCTGTATAGATACCTAATAAAACTGAGAAATTTATTTAGAGTATCATAATGTTGCATCTACAATAGATTTGTATTACCATAGAATAGATGACATTCAGTAAACATCTGAAAATTTACTTTTTCTACAACTGTACAGAATATATTAAACTCTATTACAGAGACATAATTTATTTATCAAATAATTTTGTTATTTGAAGGGATATATACAGAGACGCTGTCGTCTCTATGATAGGTCTTGGGTACGTGAGTTGGCTGAATCTAAAATTTTGCGAGGGAATCTACTTCCGCCATGTTAGATTCAGGAACCACAGAGAAACTTTGTATAAATCTTATCTGCATAGGTACCTCTAACCGCAATCTTGTTTATACCGTAAAACAGCTATGTCTTGCATAGCTATGCTTCTGTTTAAAGAGTGGTATAAGACAGTGAAATTATACCCTATAATTTATAACAGTGATATAAAATTCTCCATATATAGTCCTCAAGGATGACAAAGCATAAAGGGTACTATGGATATTATCGAACATTCCGTATGTCTATACTTCTTTTCACGTCTACAGACGACGCTAATGTATTTCTTTCCATAAGGTAGGTTGTAATTGGAAACATGTTTATCACTACAAGTTACATTAAAAAAAAAAACAATAATTTATATTAGCCGCAGAACATATTATCAGCATATAATCGCATTATTAGTGAACTGTTATAGAACGCTATTATTGCAAATTAATTAAAATTAACTTTACATAAAAAATAGAATTGCGATTATGTATTCTGGCGTATAGCAGCATAAGGTACCATGACGTATTTTGGTCTGAAGAGTAAGCTATCTAATACAAAATGCTTAACATCTTGATGCTCAGCATCGACAATGCATGAGCGGTACCAAAGTGCTATTTATATACTATTCAAGTTAAAATCGAAATTGTTGACATTCTTATTTTTTCCAAACAGACAAAATCGAAAAACGAATAAAAATTAAGCCACCCAAAATACGACAACGCGTTCAACAGTCGAAGTTAATATCTCTACATTTTTTACTACTTTTCAAGCCATGTTTATTTAGGAAAAATAGTTATGAGTTACTCCTTTGTAACTTCTCTATTTATTTCTTATAATTTCTACATCTTTTTAATAAGTAATTACTTATTTTATTTAATAAATAATACGTCAAGAAACCTGTAAGTATATAGAACACTGATAAAAAAATGAATCAGCTAATTTGACATTTAGCTGATAAAAAGTTGACCTGTTTTTGAGGCTTCATGCTCTATTTATATATTCTAAGATCCCACCCCATTAACTAAGAGCCATGCAAGCACAGCTACTTTACGGCATAAACATGAGTGGGAGAGAAATATCTATGCAGACGACTTTTGTACAAAGTCTTCCTCTAAACGACTGTTTCCCACTTCGCATCAAGCGGGACCTCACTTGTTTGCTATTTCAAGTAATAAAATAAAATAATTGAACTGGCTTAATCCACCGTTTTTAACATTTATAATCAGACTAGGAAATATTTCCATATTAAATAATAAATAATATTTTAAATATAAGCATTAAAAAGACTAATTCGAGCAAATGTTATCATGTAAAATCCAGTATGAAAGCACCTATAAAGGGGATGAAATATAATAAAAACTATTTACGGAAAACCCACGACACGAATCAAAAGTCAAGTATTGCTCATGCTGTGTGTAAACACAAACAAGACGATAGAAAAAGGTAAGGTACATTAAGACTATGGAAAAGATAAAATTGTAGAAAAAAATTACCTCAATATCTAAAATAGTTACTACGTCTTGCTGAGATCCCAACTAATTAAAAATACTATTTAAGTGTATCCCAATTATAAAAATTTCAACTTAATATATTTGCAAATCACCTAATTGACAGGCATCAAGGAGAATCCGCAAAATGGGCATGTTGAATTATTATTGGCAATAAAACGGTCACCTTAAAATTTATTTCTTTTCTTATATTTTAAATTACTGAACAACTCTGGACTTAATGAAGAACTTTGCATACTCATTTCAAGCCTTTTTTTTTCTAGTAAACAGTAGTCAATTATAAGCATTTTTAAATAGACACTTTTTTATGAAACTAACGCAGTATAGGACGACCACACTAGATGTGACAACCGTAAGTTTGTTGCAGAAAGTTGGTAGATACCAACGAGGGAAGCATAAATCTAAGTAACAGTGTAACAGATTCAAGCCGAGGCCTGTCCTGCAGTAAACATAAATTGAAATCTGACGAAGCAGATTTTCGTAGAATTCTACGTAGTCATAGGAAATGCAAATATGATTGTATTTAGGGTATTCAAAGGACAACTGCAAAAGTGTCACACTCGGCTTGTATCAAAAATAAAGTAGATAGGTACACTTACACTATCCCACCTGGCTATTTGTTACCATATATAACTAGTCAACAAAACAGCGTGATTGTCTGGTATTACCTTTATCTTTACTTCAAAAGTCGCTTTATTTCTATTAGATCAAATAGTAATTGTTTAGGTAGTGTACATAAGTCTCGTATAATTTAGCTGAGCAGTGACGTATAGAGAAAACCGAACTGAAAAATCCAGCTGCAAAAGTTCAGATCTCATTTTTCTAGTCAACAGCTTATATTAATATAGAATATATATTTTAATAATATATAAATATAGAATACTTATGTAAAAATGAACCATTTCCACGAGTAAGTGTGTTCTTTATAAATACAATATTTATTTGTTGCATAATGTGAATACAAACTAATATAACGTCGTTCATGATTCCTTTACTATAAAGCAGTAAAAAGAAATTCGATTCTCTCACAAATGTCAATGTTAATGACAAAGGTGACAGATCAAATCTCAAACATGGTTCCGGAAATATTCAACGTCACATGTACAAGTATATTATTTACTAACAGATGTTATAAAGTATATAATATTATAATAAATAAATCAGGACCAAAAATTTCTAGAACCATGCATAGCAAGTTAAGCCAACCAAATAGCATGATGCGATTATTAATGTTATTAATCACAATTATTATAATGGTCTTAATTCATATAGTGTTTCTTTTTTATTTTAATATATTATACTCATTATATCACATCATACTAAATTGAAGATCAAAGGTCTGATTAAATATTTAATTAAGAGCAAACAATAGATGTCTTATAAATATTTCTAATAGTTTATGCCAGAATTGTTCATTTTTTAGAACATGATAAGCATCATGGACACCTGATGAGCACTATAAATGGATGATATGTATCATAGTACCTATATCCCACCATGTCGTTATAGACGTTGTGACTCTCATAGTACCTGATAAATTCCCGTAATTTCACTGCCACAACACACTCTTCAGTTTTAGACAGTCATACAAGCACAACTGCTTAGTTTCAATAAATGGAAATATCCGAATGTAAATGTGTTAAGATAATTTTTAGCAGTTCTACAGAAAAGAGAAATTTATAATTTACCTATATTATATTTTTTTTTATTTATTTTTATATTGAATTAGTAGCCTACCGTAGAGAAATTTATAATTTATCTATGTTATATTTATTTTTCATTTATTTATTTTATATTGATTTAGTAACTCTACCATAAAGACAAATTTATAATTTACCTATGTATATATTTATTTTATTATTATTATTATTTTTTAAATAAATTAGTAGCTCTATCGTAAAGAGCAATTTATAATTTACATATATTTATTTTTTATTTATTTATTTTTATATTGAAAAGAAATAATATTATATTACTTATATTTTATTATTATTTTGTATATATTTAATAATATATAAAAGTGTCAATGCTTTTATATGCAGGACATAATCGAAATCATAATCAACATCTTAATGAAGCGATTTATCAATAACATTGTGGTAAGTCCACAAGAGAAAATCTCCCATGCTAATTTGACAGCTAAACGCTCCATGTAAGCATGGAAGGTAAAATTTTTATCGTGCGTCAACCCATGTTTCTTTGGAAAAATATGTTCAGTTCCGTTGATAAAATACCGTCTTTAAAGCACTCCCGTCGACTATAACGACATGACAATATAGTGGACGTGGATAAAATTTAAATGCATCATCATACAATTGCATTACATTTGGCCTTCCTATTACATAGTTGCTTGCATGCTTTAAGTGCTTAGCCCTATTTCAATATTATTTTTTTACATATAAAACACCCAGACCAATACGAACAGTCATACTCGTGAATACAAATGTAAATACTGTGCGAGAATAAAACCCGGAATCATGGGAAGGTATAACCCCATTATTTTGTAATAGCCACCCGACTAATAAAGAACATAGTTTCACTATTCCATAGAATATTTCAAACATTTTCTTTTATACAATTAAAGTCCAGTAGATGCAACCGTTCTATAAGGCAATTAATTACAAAAATTAATTATAATTGTATTCGGCAATTAATTTTTATTTTATTGATTAATACTTAATCAGGCCTTTTTTTAGATGCATGGAAGGGAAAGCAAGTGATTCCTACCTGTTGATCCCAGAAATACATCGGAAGATTATTGACTCGATTATCGTTGCGAGCGTTGATGGCCTGTTGCATCCACAGCATGTCGGGCGCTGCGCTCGACTGACTCCATAGCGAATCAACCTAGAGATGTACAAGTATATAAATAAAAGAAATAAATATAAACTTACAGCCCCTTTCAAATAAATTGGCACTTAACACACCCTGATATATATATTTATATATATATATAACAATTGTTATGAATTACGACAAAAAACCCCCATATGTTAATGTAAATCATAATAGAATAAAATATTGTTAGTATAACAGTCCGATTGCTAGTAAAATACCCTGTCAGCTTAACCTCCCTGCGATCTCCCTGGAAACTATGATAATTAATTCCAGGGGTATTTCGTCACGATGACCAGCTGACCTAACTTTATTATCCTCAACTATCGTCACTCATTGATACCCTGCCGACATATACCTACAGATAGCGCAGGAATTTATTACCATTCATTAAAAAATTCTTTCAACGATTCAAGTAACATTTAAACAACTTTTTAAATTTCGACATTAATATATTCCCCTCATATTTATTTAATCTATATTTATCTAAGATTAGTACAGACACATTTTTAAACTTTACATTACGCGATAAACAACAAATTTTAATTTTAGAACTATTATTATTAATAGTGTAAAGCCGCCTTTATATAAGTTTTACACAAATCAAGATATAATGTATCATGAGTCAACTGAGATTGCTAGAGTATTTTACATTAACAAATTTATTGTAAGCTAATTACGCGAGTAAAACTTAGAAATGTAAAGGCGGATTAATAACTGTTAGTATATAAACCTATTACAACGTTACACTAGGTGTTATGGATTAATAACTGATTCAACAAAACATAATTGTGAAAAAGTATAAGATTGTTATATTAAAAGCGTCCATACCTAATCTTACCGAAGTGTCACAACGTTGATATTATCTTCAGTATTCGAAAATAATTTCATAATTTTAAATATTTAAAAAGTGCTTTGTTAGCGAACTAAAATATTAACTATACGACAACATTTTTATAAAGCTTTCACTGAAAATTTTAATTTTAATAGTGAAAAAATATTTGAATACTTTTAAATCAAAATATGAAATGGGATTTTTTTAGTGGTACAATAATATGCAATTTATTCTACGCTTCGCTATCAGAGCACATTTTATAATTCGTTCAGAATAACTTAGAATTTATCAATTGAAAAATAACAACGTCGACTTTGTCATAACTTCAATAAGTTTCAGTATGACCCTCTTAAATTAAATACCAATCCATTTACAGTAATTTTAGAATAGAATTGCCAAAATATTAACTATTACGCACACTATACTACAACGCACTGAGAATAATGTATAATATAGGTACAATAAATAGTGGGTATACACAGTCCTGATTTAAATGGTTGTAGCTGTAGCACCGCAATGTGAAAAGAGATGAAAATGTATTGAGAACCATATTATTTGTATATGCATGTATGTGTGTATACATGTGCGTGTGTATACATGTGTGGGTGTATACATGTGTGTATATACATGTATGTATGTATATATATATATATATATATATATATATATATATATGCTATGTATATACATGTGTGTGTATATATGTGTATGTATATGTGTAATATTTAAAGTATTTAAAATAAGAAGTTTTCCAGGCTTCCCCCCCTACTAACACGAAATAAAAATCAACATTTGTACTAATCACAGTATCAGCAGTCTGTCTGATGGTCGTGTCAATTAGCATTTTTATTAGGTTCTACAAAAAAATTACATTTAACAATGTAGTTTACAATGTTGTGTGTACAAGGAATGTATGAAAGCGGACGAAGCAAAAAGTGTCAACGTATCACATAAATCGTAAGATAAATTTTGATATACAAAAAAACATATTGTAAAACTTTTACTGGTTGTGATACAATCGATCGATCTTCTCACTAGGTCCCTTTATGTTTTTTATAAAACTTCAATTCTAAAATAAATACATAAACAAATACAAAATGAGAGAAAGGACACTGTTATCTTGGTTTACAGAATAACCTAATATGATTACGGATACTGTGGATAATGATGACCAAGAGTATTTAGTACAAGCGTACGTGCTTAAGATGTGATAAAAGTGGATGATGTAAGGATGAGAGTTCCTTGGCATAGGGATTTTTCTGTGATAAGAAGTTTAATACGATAAATATCAGGACAAATTGTATTGTGTGCAATAAATAAATAATCCTTGGCGTATCTACCTTGTCTTAAACTAACCAGAGCTTGTATTATATGTATTAAACAACTGATAGGACGTATTTAAATACTTTTTTCAAATACAATACATAGAGACAATAACCAAACCAATACCAGATATATACCAATATTAACATATATTAGAATTGCTCAGATATAATAAATAAATAATAAGGTTAATATAATATATGACATATCAGTGAAACTTTGTGACATGAAGAGAAATGGTAGTTATATTTAGTTGAATTTCAACAGTTACAAATTAGCCATTTGTTGAAGTTTCACAGAACGCACATTGGATAAAGTGATCTATACCCAAGTAGCAAAGAACGTACTAAACGGATAACAATAGTTAAAATAAAAACTAAAATGCAACTACAAAACTACTAATATATGAAAAGTATATATTTACATATATAATATGTATATATAATTGCATGTACTAAATATATAGAATATACTTAAGGTTTTTCTTTAGACACCAAATAAAACAAGACATAAAGACGCGCCGTATGTAAACCTTACTACAATGCAAATTAGTTGTAAACTATGAACCCTAACATACCCACATACAAACGACTAAAATCATAACCCTCCATAAATAATATACAGAGTCAAATCGAAAAAATGTAAGGGAACCATCCCTGAAACTGAACATTTCCCCCAATTAAACATGGATCGAAAAAATGACAAAAAACTTTGAACCTACTATTCTAAGTTCATAACTGGACACAGCGTGTCAATAAGAGGCTCAAAATGTTATGTAGTCCTTCGACACGTGTTTAATTGCGAAAAATGTGCAACTTTAGTAGAACACTCCCTTTAGTGAATGCTAATAATTTGGATTTCACCCTGTATAGACAGGTACGATATCAGAGAAACATTACCATTAGACGTGGTTGTGCAAAAGTTGGATTTACAACTACTCCCACAGATCCAAAACGTATATCCAATGGTGTTGTATTATTATTTACATTGATCACCTAAAACATACAACTTGATTGAAAATTTTCAATATATTATTCTATAATCAACAATGTGTTACACTTGATAATAAAAAATAAAGGACTAATATAGATAGAAATTGCCACCAATTAAATACAGCTCGCTATGAATTTCCATTAATAGCACAGAATTCACACACACATATATATATATATATATATATATATACTAGCTAACTCGGCAAACGTTTTACCATATACATTATTTCGAGAACAATACATGAAAATTTCTCGTACTACAATTATTATATTCGATTGGCATCTTGCAACCCTATTGCGGCATATAAAAATCGCGATTAAAAATAGAGGTTGATCGTAAAAGCGTGAAAATTTGAATTTGTATCCATTTTTCAATGCTAAATTATAATAAAATAAAAATAAGAAAATTTGTCAAAAGAACAAAAAAAAATATTTAGGGGTGGGTCATCCTTATGATTGAGGGGTATGAAAAATAGATGTTTGCCGATTCTCCGACCTACCCGATATGCACACAAAATTTCATAAAAATCGGTTAAGCCGTTTCAGAGAAGTTTGGTAACAAACACCGTGACACGAGAATTTTAAGTATATACAGTATGGTGCAAAACTGAACCAATACATAGTGAGATTACAATTTTTTAGGAAAGAAAGTGATTTTTGTTATTTGATAATTATATTAAGTATTATTTACTAGAATGTATTTATGTTTCATTATTACATCGAGATATAAAATTAATAATAAAACAACACACAAAACAAGGAATCACTTTTGCACCAAAATAAACAACTGAATTTTTACACTTTTTAATATTTTTGTCTATAAGCCTTTAAGCTTTCTTAACTGCTTCCTATTTTTCATACTTTTTACTAATTTTTCAGAGAATTTCAGCAGACTAGGTGAAATTTTATCCCATTACTCATAAGTTTGTATTTTTTTTTACAACACAGGGGGCAAACGAGCATGTGGCTCACCTGATGGTAAGTGACTACCCCCGCCCATAATCACCCATAACAACAACGGCATTGCAGGTGTGCTGCCGGCCTTTTAAAAAGGAATATACTCTTTTCTTGAATGTTATGTTGTCGTATCGGTTCGGAAATACTGCTGCTGGAAGTTGATTCCAAAGAATGGTTGTGCATGGAAGAAAGTGAAAAACGCATGGTGGAAGACCGCCACTCGTCCAGATGATTGGGATGAAACGTTAGTTTGTGGCGGGTTGTACGGTGGTGAAAATCAGCAGCAGGTATCAATCCGAACAATTCCTCAGAACACTCCCCATGATAAATTCGGTAGAAGATGCACAGAGATGCAACATCTCTGCGCAGTTTCAGTGGGTCAAGTCGGACAGTAAGGCATTGACTATCAATAATTCGAGCTGCCCGACTTTGAATACGATCTTGGAGTTGGTACTGTGGCGCTCCTGCCCATAAGTGAGAACAGTATTCCATATGCGGCCTGACTTGAACTTTATATAATTTCAGGCGGTGTTCCGGCATGAAATACCGTCTCACCCTATTGAGCACTCCTAACTTTTTAGAAGCTATCTTAGCCTTCTCCTCCAGATGACCGCAAAACTGGACGTCGCAAGATATATCAACGCCCAGAATTCCTAGAATCGACTTTTTATCAAGGGATGTGCTGAAAGTAAGGAGATACGACAAACGGCGTCTTTTTTGCGGTGAACACATCGTCCATAATTCATTTATGGACGATGGCGGTGACTTATAATTATTGAGAATATTATGTTTTAATTGTGACCATACATTTTCAATTGGATTTAAGTCAGAACTATGTGCCAGCCACTGCAGTAACTGAATGTCTTGAGAATTGAGCCATTACTTCGCTGTTTTCGCGGTATGCTTTAGATCATTGTCATGTTGGAAGATTATCTCATTAATTGGATAAGGCATATTCTCCATTGTATCAATTAGTTCGTGTTTTAGAATATTTTGATACATTTTATTATTCATTTTCCTAATAATTCTGTGTATAGGACCCAACCCACAAGCTGATATACACCGCCAAATCCTAATATTATCTCCACCATCACCACCGTGTTTAACAGTCTGTACAAAATCTATATGATGTGTTGGCTCCCCTTTCCTTTTCCATTTCCATTGGCGACCATCGGTTGCCTGAATCGACAAATTTTTGTTCCAAATGAAAAAAATCACAGTCATCCAATCCTCTTCTAACCAGTTTTTATATTTTTTTACAAACTCCAAACGTAATTTTATATTTTTTACTCAGAAACGCCTTTTAATTTTTTCTGTGGCTCGCTATTTTTTTTCTATTGTTCACATTATATACTGTTCACTTAATAATCGTTTTCCCAGTATCACACTGAAGTAGTTTAGCTGCACGAGACGTCGGTAAAGCTTCTCCAGTAGCTATGTGTTTAATAATATGATTACTGTCTCTAGCACTCAATTTCTTCGGCCAGCCACCAAGATTTTTTTTTAAGTTATTTTTGCACATCTTTCGTATTCTTTGTACCATACTTTGTCTCACGTTCAATATTGCAGCCATTCATTGCTTACTATTGCTTTCTATTGACATTTATTTTATTTCGTAGTGAATTTGAAAATGGCCTAATTTAAAAAAAAAACTATACTACACAATATATGTGTATTGAAAGTGCGAATAGTTTCAGTATGATTTTGCATATTATTGATTTATTAAATAGTAGAAAAACAGTTATTGTTGTCGTATCTTTTTCTGGTGCAAAACTGAGTCATACAAATCACAAAATAAACAAGTTAAAATGCGTTACTACTCTGTGTCAAAAACAGTAGACGTCGTTTCTTATTGTGTGAAGTAAAGTAAATAGATTTATACAGAATCAAAACAAACGAAAATATAATTTATTGCTACGTTTCACAACATTGGTTCAGTTTTGCACCATAGTGTGCACCATATATCTTTTTTTTCATGTCGCAACCAAAAACAAAATAATCTGAATAATAAAAATAATGGATACTAGACACTTATGAAAGTGTGCTTAAAAAATATGTAACAACAAAGCAGTGTAGTAAGAATTATATGAATAATTTAAAAAGCATTGCTTTGCACAACATCGATATTTGTAAACATGCGTCTTTGAAGAATTCATGTTTGAATAATTTGACCCCACTGTGACATTTAAATTATTAAAACGACAACTGCGACTCATGTATTAATTCATGAAGAAAACAATATTCTATGGCATCGATAAATTGGAATATATACGTGCGAGGGTGCTGCCCTCTAATGTCAAAAACTTCTAGGTAGAATTTGTGTGCAGTAAATCGTACTATAAGGAGTTGTGTATTTTACATTAATCATGGATAATACATTTGAATCGGAAGTATAGTAATTGGAAAACATTTATTAAAAATGCTTTTATATCCGTATAATGTTCACGGGCAATTAAAAAAATCTGTAGGCATCAGAATAATTCAGATTGACCGCCAATTAAATTTGACAAACTTAAACATGCCAATGACAATTGCAAAAATGAGACGTTTTTGCGATAGTATATTTATAAATGTAAAAACACTTTATATCGGGAATTAAGAATTAGAAGGATTAAGAATTCAGATAATATTTCAAGGAGCATCCATTAATTACCTGAGATGAAAACAGATTAGTTATTTAGTGAAAAGAAGTAAAATATATCAACATCGTGAAATAAACTTCACTGTTTTAATTTCACCCATACTTGACATAAAGGCAAAAACATCTAAGGATCTCTTGGATAATGGACACCTCCTTATCAAAGGAAGGTGGGGAAGGAAAGTGAGAGATTCATTTTCTTAAAATCTTTGATTAGTATGTTCGAGTGCTTAATTACTGCACTAAATATGTGTGCACTAAGCATAAACATAGCACTAAGCATGTGCTATGAAAATTAATTATAGTAACTACTTAGGTAGATAAATTATATTTGTTATGGAAATAATATTACACAGTCATAGATAAGTATTTCCCATTCTTCTCCAGGTATCTAATGTAGAATATAAGGTCTCTTATCCATTCCTCACTGCAATAATCACCGGCTACATTCGATAAACACCTAAATTTAATGAAATGTAAAGTTCCCCAAAATCAAATAACCACAAAAATAAAAGTTAAAGATGATTCTCCATGTAATAAAAAAATATTCAAAGAAGACAATGACGAATGGCGAATTTATAAACATAAATTCAATTAAAAGTTATGATAATATTTTACAGATAAGTTATTGTAGTGCCACAAAACTTATCCGATAGTAACAGAACCAAACCTCGAAATTTAAAGACGAAAGTTTTAACCAGTGCGCATTACAGAAGCTTCGAGTTGTCCATAAGGCCATGGAAATAACTACGGTGTGTAGAACTAATATGACCGATATAGCCAAAAGGATTGAGAAACTCAATTGACAATGGATTGGCCACATAGCACGAAGTATCAGCAACCAGGAATATATTATGAATTACTGAAATGTTGATAAAATAAGGTCAACTTTATAATAATAAATAATTTTTATTTGAATAAACTTAATAAAAAGTATTTTCAAATAGTCATTTTTATAAGAGTCTACCGCCCAGTTCGGAATGTAATTTCAGCCCCAAAGAACGAGCAAGAAACACAGCAGCTGCTTTTTTTCAAATAAAAGTTTACAACAAAAAATATAAATGGATAAAATGACTATCACAAACTTTGTATTGATAAAAAGAAAGAAAATAAAATGCTATCAAACTACAACCGATCACAGTATTATTGAACAGGCTAGTCCCTACTAGAAGGACAAGTTCACGAGTATGACGAATGAGCCAGCCGACGTTGTGTTCGACCAAATTATAGGAAGACCAATCAATGACCCGGACCACCACGCCATCAAAAACATTTAGAAAACGATAAGCCAAAATTGGCAAATCAACATGTTGATGCTGCCTGCAGTATGCAGTATGACACACAGCGTCACAGAATCTAAAGTTATAAATTCAATCGCCTGCAAACTGTTTCTGCAAAATCATACATTTTTGTGGACCACCCAATAGGGGGAATCCTATGTTCAACAGTGAACAATGATGAAAATAATAAAAAAAAAATCGTCTCGAACATCTGAAACGAAGCTATCTTACTCCCTCTCTCAAAAGTGCTCGATCAAACATCTACACAATAATTCTACCTAATGAAAAGTACTTACCGTACCATATAGATGTGTAAAACATTAAAAACATCATTACATACAATTTGCAACCTAAATCTCTGATGTCCTTACCATGCAGACAACGAAGTAAATTGGCAGCAATCTTCTATAAAATGGCCTTATAATATTGTATTTAAACAAGTGTATTTACTAGAATTATTTGTGTATAATGTGTACACATTATTGGAGATAATACCTTTATTTTATAATTATCAGAAAATCCTCTGCATCATAAATATACTGTAGCATTAGTTTTTATATTTTATCACAAAATTAACGTCAAACATCAAAACTTAATATAGTAAACATATGCCAAACAGTGGGATATTAATTGGCCGAATTTAGACAGACTATTAATGAAAGTGTGTAGAAATATCATGCAGAAGCATTACGCATACGTAAATACGGTTTATAAGAAAAGAGAATGCAGTCAAAGAAAATGAAGACAAAAAGCTCCTAAAGCATGAATGAATTTAGGCGGAATAAAGGAAGTACATATTTAGCATGATGTTATGTTGATAGCAGGATGACAATTGCACCAAGGTGCAATTTCCAATCTCAGATTATTTTACGTACCGATTCCAATCCGAGCCCTTGCTGAGTATTCATCATAGATTCGTGAGGTGCTTGCGAACGTGGCTCAAAAGAATTATTCATAGGGTATGAAGACAACATGTCCTGGACAAAACAAAGAATCCTAATTTGCTACATGCAGTGTACCATTTCACTGCAGTTCGTACAAAAAGGAATGATTCAAGTTTGGTTTGTGAAGTTTCTAGGTCCCCTTGCTGTGCACGAAGGTCTCTAACGTGGCTTTAGACAGCAGTTTTGCATATACATTAATACTTTTATATTACATTTAAAATGTAATCCAAACATTTTTTTTTTTTTTTAATTTAAGCTAGAATTCGATATCATGATCCCTGGATCAATATTTATTCTCCGACTTAGCTGTCGGCACCTTTATCAAAATTTTTATTTCTTAGCTCTAGTTTAGTTCAATTATTAAACGTACCCAATGTCTAAACAATATTTAAAATGAAAAATCGTATCTTCACGAATATACAGTAAGCATGCATTTTTTCAAAAACCTGCTTAAAATTTTTAAATAATAACAAAGAATAAAAATTTTACATACCACTTGAGCGAATGGTACTACTAGTCCATAACTGCCTAGAGGACGCATGTGTGTATCACAAGCTCGTCGCACCATCAAGCTTGGTGTGAAAAAGCCAGCTCTATACCAATTGTTCATTTCCTTTGAAGAGAATGGTCCTTGAATAATTTTCTGCAAAGAAAAGTAAAAATTACAGTAACAATTTCTTCATTATTATAACTTGTTGTCTATTTGGTGTGAGTTTATCTCTATTAGGATGGCATTAGCCTACTATTACCATGCTGGTTGGGTTATTATAAGATCTGTATACAATCAAGCTGCTTAAATAAAGCACATATTTGTATTGCCACTTGTGGTACAGAAAAGACACCAATTTTTTAATTAAAAGCGGTAATAGACGCATGCCTCAAGTTGCTGGATTGTGTACAAGGCTCAATATTTCGAGTTAGGTACTACTAATGTATTGTGCACTTTATCTTAGTCGCATCTTACGTCATCTTGGGGATGAAAATGAACAGTTACATATTGTATTTTTACTCTTTCACCACACTGTGATAAAAACACAATTTATCATAATTTTGAGATAATTATTATAACAATAAAGAAAATTGTTTAGTATTTTTTTTTATATTAATAATTTTATTTAATATTTGACCTTCCAACAAGTTACTAAAATATAGTACCGCTTTTTAGATAATTTTCTTATTTAACGTAAAAACTATCTATTTTATGCTTAAAGTTTTAATAAAACTGTTTTACTTTATTCCTAATACATTATTTTATTTTATAAAAAAAATCAATTACATCCTTAAAACAAAAAGGAACTAGTATGTTTCCTTTTTATTTTAAGGATGAAATTGATTTTTTTTTTCAGTAATTATAATAAAGAACAATAACCATACCTTTGGATCTTCGTAATACCAAAGCTCTGCAGGATTCTGTGTACTTGTTTGTGCTTGTGCTGGGTTAGTTTGCTGCATCATATTCCCGTACATTGAATTCCCAAAAGACTGTGACGATGAATGTTGGAGACCATGCATAGCAAATAAATTATTTTGATTGGGATGATTCTGCATCTGTAAAATTTAAAAAACCAGAACATAACATTAGCATCCAATAACAGTCCTTGGGAATACCGACTCCTAGTAATATCTAAATGTGTAAAACTCAGTTATTTCTAGTATTTAAACTAAAAATTTACATATATCAGTAAAAGATATATAAAGAATTGCCAATACTAGACTGAAAACTAGTAAGAAAACTAACTGGCACACAATTTGACTAAAAAAAACAGATCTATTTACAGGTTTTAATTGGATCACAAGTTAAAACAAGTTTTAACAAAAAGCATGTGACATCGCAACTACCATATAGTCAACCAAAAAGTTTGGTATGAACACTGTAGGTAAGCAATTAATCTAAAATTATGAATTTGAAGTTACTATAAATTATTATAAATATCTTACCGCCGCCTGAGGATTGTTTTGGTTCAGGAAGAGAGAATTGTTTGCAATATTTGCTGAGGCCATTCCAGATAATCCTCCACCAGTTGTAAATCCGGCCATGCTTGGACCATTAGGCTGCATGCCTGCAGCTATTCCTGCAGACAGAACGCCTCCTCCCATGCCTAGATTAGACAAGCCTGGATTAGACATGCCTGGATTAGACATGCCTGGATTAGACATGCCTGGATTAGAAATGCCTGGATTAGACATGCCTGGATTAGACATGCCTGGATTAGACATGCCTGGATTAGACATGCCTGGATTAGACATGCCTTGATTAGACATGCCTTGATTAGACATGCCTGGATTAGACATGCCTGGATTAGACATGCCTGGATTAGACATGCCTGGATTCATGTTTGAATTTGACAACATAGGTGGTGGTACACCTTGCAGTTGTATGCCCATTGTTGGACCAGTGGATACAATAGGTAAGCCCAAGGATGCATTCAGCGCTGCATTTGTCATGCCAATTTGTTTTATACCAGATGTTGGCATTCCATGACCCTGTATAGATGTAGGCATATTTGATTTATTCATTGCTAAACCTTGATTCGGATGTACAGGACTTGAAATCCTCATTTGCATGGGTGGATTTCCCATTTGGGTCATTGAACTGACTGTGGCAGCCATCCCTGACGACATAGCGGAACTTGCCGCATTCATTATTGAACTAACGGTAGACATTGGCATTTTTGATATATTTGAAATTTCTTTGTCTTCCAGAGCCATATCAAATATTTCTTCAACAATTTTGTCCTCTGGCAAACCATGCTGTTTCCTATTTTCGTATTCACTGAAAAAAAAAATTTTAGTTAGCGTATTGTACTTATTATGTGAACATTCTCATCATTTTCATGTAATTCCACATGAAGCAGACAACCTTGACCTGACTCTATCCTCACCTATCATCTCTTCACTTGTATTGCACCAATGAAACTTAGTTTACACAAACATGGTAATTAATACAAGCATTAAATAGAGTGCTCCCTTGTCAATAATCTTAACTTTTCTCCCTTTCTTTAAATAATATAATATTTTATAATAGTTTTACTTACCCATCACTAAATTTACTTGGGGGTGATATTATATTTATCATATTAGTTTTTCTAAGATTTGCAGTTGTATTATCAGGAATAACGGTTACTATATTTTGATGTTTTTGCCTCAAACTATTATTTTTAGTAATCATCACAGACTGGAAGTTGCTTCGTTCATCATTGGCTTCCTCTAAGTTAATATCAGACCTCAACAATGAATTAAACGTTTTACTCTCTGGAAATTCTATTTTTAAATTTCGCTTATTGAATTTATCTTCTTCCTGTGTTCCATTGTCTACGTTTGATGAATCTGGTGACACTTCTTCCAATGGTTCCAATTTCTCTGATAATTCTTGTTTCGCATCTTCTTTGGTGGACGTCGGTCTATGATTAGATGAAGAGGCAGATGCTTCTGATATCCCGGTCATAATTCGCTGCAAATATAAAACTTTGAACATTTTTGCGTTTTGTTAATAATATTCATACCTAATTTAGCACAATTATAAATGTCTAGGTAACATTTCTAAGATGATATAATTTAATAATTGGCTAAAACATTAACAATCTCTTTTTCTAAAGCTCACTTTTGAAAATATTACTTTGCAAGTCAAATTAACTATTAGGGGATAGTCAGTTTTAAGTTATCACAAACAAAATATGTAAGTTGTTGGTAATTTACATATTGACAATTAAAGCTTCTCAAACCTTGCATAGAGATATACCTGAAACATCTTTAAACATTTATATAAAACAATGATATGATAATATTACCTTTTTGTTGAATTGTATGTCACTGGCATCAAATTTCTTCGGAGATAATTTTTTTGCTTTTTCCGACGCCCACCATTCTTCAGAGCCTTCTTCCACTATTTTTGAACGAGGTATGTTTCCATGTGTATGGGACCTTGTAAGTGCTGAAATTTTTATTCAATCAATATTTCACCATCCAACAACTTATATGTCTAAATCAAACATTAGATTCAAGTGTAAACCCTAATTTTTATATATTATGATACATATATAAAAAACGATTTTTCAACGTCATACCTATAAAATATATCTCTAACACGTTTTGAAACATGTATTTCATAGGCAATAGACAGTTTTACAAATACTTTGTTAATAACTTACAATGGATATTATCTTGAGATTTTGGCAGGTTAGTGTCATCATTACTATATCCATGAAATGCTCCTGAGGAATCAAATGTGCCACCGCAAGCTTCAGCACTATCCACTGCCCTGTTGTACAAAATCATACATATTAATATAAACATTCCAACTATATTGCAAAAACAATCACATTCAATAATAATGTGCATTTTTTTAAATTATTATATGAATAATTATTATATAGACAAGATACTTAATTGCTCTATGATACATTCTTGCATGACTATATCTTCATGAAGTCTAATTAGCCTCAAAGATATAATTTAATAATAGGATTAAACAAGTCATAAGCAAATTTCGCTGTGTGGTCCTGGCATAGAATGAGCCACCCCTTCTTGTGATATCATAAAAAAGAAAGAAAGCTTCATTGACCAGAGGCAACTATGGGAAGTTTATGATCGGGAGATGAGCAGCAGCATCCCTCTTTAAAGATCACCAAATCCTAAATGCAGTTGCCAATCCGCCTGCCAAGCATGACAACTGCTGACAAAATCCCTAATGGAGGAAGCCTATGATCATCAGTAAACAGATTAATGGCCGATATAATGATGATGAAGTAAATTTCGATTTCATAATAGCAATTTAAAATTATAAATATTATCTTAATCCTGTGTGCATAGTTTGTGATATCCATACTCATATTATCTATAGACGACAGGACCACTTCCATCAGGCGGAGCTTCAGCTTATTTCTTGTTTCAATATTTTATACCAAAAAGGTGGAAAACAATCATACAGCTTATCTGATGGCAAACAGCCACATAGCCTATAGATGCTTGCAAAACTGCATCATGTATACCCCACCCCATACATGATGCAGTTACAGGGTTATCAAAACTCACTGATACCCATCAGTAAGTTTTGATAACCCTGTAAAAATCCTAACACACCCTTTTTGAAGAACCCCATACCATATGTAATTTCTAAGGAAAACTTCATCATCTTAAAAACAACAGGGAAGTCATTTCACAGACTAAGCTTTCATTTTTCATAAAAAAAGAAGACTCCACTTACCACTCCGGTAAATCGTCATTCTGTGAGTCTCCTCCAACCCACGTCCGACGATTTGAACCCCATTTATCCTGAGATTTATCGGTGTTTGTCTTGTCGCCCCAATCTCGATCTGATGATGATACAAAAATATTAGAATATATTTAAAACATGTATCAATTTTAAAATTTGGTAAACATGTGGAACATAATTGTTAGATCAAAGGATGAGGAAGAGATAGGTTCAGAATTTGTAAAGACTCGCACAGATGAATCGATCAATTCTCTACTTTTGTTTTTTTTTTTATATATAACTTGAAATAGAACATATTGGTATACATATAATGTGGAGCCCACCTAATAAAAAAGGTTTACAAACCGAAACAAGGTAGTGGATATCACAGAAAACATTGAAACACCTATTGGTCCTGTGCTGGTCCCCCTCCCCTGTTCCCTTTATAAATAAATACCCTCTAGACCTACATATGGAAAACCTACTAAAGCTTATGAAAAGCCTACAAAAGCTTACCCTAATGAAAACGTACGAAAATGTAATGAAACCTACCCTAAAGAATGGCCTAACACTCTTAATATAACCCCATACCTATGTTGCCTTATACACCCCAAACACCTATGAATCATATAAATCCTTGGTCATTTTACTTTATTGTACAGTGGTACTTTGTTTATCAGTGATATAAATAATCACGATTCACACCAGAAATAACCAATAGTATCCAGCAATGCTGCAGTTTTATATCAGTAGCCAAGTTAACTCTCAAATTCAAGAATGAACTGAAAGACTAAGAAGCTCAGCATTCCTATTGCAATTATATTTGCAACAATATATACATATAAACAGTACTAATCATCAAGAACACTCCTCAAACACATGTGATGAAGATTTTACCAATATGCTATCTACTTGAATTCTAACCTCTAATGTAAATTTATTAAAGAAGTGAATAATCAGTATTAACCTGATATTAATAAGATCATATCCCCTTGAATACAGCCCAACACATACATCTAACTCAATAATTTAATTTATAAAATAATAATATTATATTTTACTATTTGTATATCTCCATTCTATTCCCATAAAGTATTCAAAATATGTATATTAAATATAAATCCAATAAAGATTCACTAATATTAACTCTGTCTGAACATACAATCCTTATCGCCATGACAACTTTCACCCTAACTATGAGTAAAATGCATCTCTCACATTTGTCATTCATTACCAATTTTATACTGAACCTCATACCTCGTTAAGAGTAATTTTAGTCAGAGAATCTTTAGATACTTTTATTCCCACTAGGAGCTAAATCCACACCATAATATTAGCATAATTAAATATTAATAAAAAGCAGTAATATACAAAGAGTTGTTATTGTCAGCTTGCTCAATGTAATAAAATTAATATTAGAATTTATAATAAATGAAGACACAAAATATCTTGTTAAAACCAATACAGGCTTGTTTACCATAAATAGCCAACAGTCACACATGAACTTATTTACTAACACAATTATTAATTTATTAAATTTGTCTCCATTATTTGTCCATCATAGTTAATATTTAAATTTAATTTAGTTGTGCGATATGTTCCAAATTGTATAATTTTAGTCTTGTTAACATTTGCTTTTAGATTATTTTTATGCATCCAATCTATAACTCTTTTACTGACAAATTTATTTCACACTGTATTTCATATTTATTAATATTATCAATTTTATCATTACCTTTTATAAGAATAGTAATGTCATCGGCAAAAAATATTAATTCGTAATTTGTTGTGGGCCTTTATATATAAGTTAAATAATAATGGGCCTAATATTGTTCCTTGAGGTACACCATAACTGTTGAAATTATAATTTGATTTACAGACAATTTTCCTAGAAATTGTTTTTGATTTTTTAATAGTCTTTGCTACTTCTACACATTTATATCTTTCGGTCAAACAATCTACAATCCAGTCATTTGCTACGCCCCTTATTCCATATTTATTTAATTTTTCAGTCAAAGTTTTATGGTCTATGTAATCGAAGGCCTTAGTCATATCGAAAAACAGACCAACAACAGGAACACCTTTATTTATGCAGTCAATTATGGATTTTATTAATTTAAAAGTTGCTGTTGTTGTATTTTTATTATTTCGAAACCCATATTGCTCACTTCTTAGGATTTTTATATTTGTCCAAAAATGCAGTAAATCTATAACGAGCTGCTTTTTCGAAGACCTTTGCTAAAATGACAATTAGGTTGATAGGTCTATAGGTAGTTGTCAATGTTTGTCACATCACCCTTTTTATGAAGTGGTTTGATAACAGAATACTTTAACCTTTTTGGAAAAACACCTTGACTAAAAGATAAATTTATAATATAAGTAAGTATTGGGGCAATATCATTTGCCACTAGTTTCAGTACTTTGGTTGGTATTTCATCATAACCAACAGAATTTGTATTTTTAAGGGATTTTAGTATCATACATACTTCTTCAAATAATGTTAGGAATAAAAACATACTAGTTACAATTTTCTTTTACAGTTGGAGTGGTCAAATTAGATGTTTTGGCGTTGTCTATTACGTCAATAAAATAATTATTAAAATTGTCAGCTATATCTTTTATATTTTCAATAATTGTTCCGTTTTTATTAATTCTATCAATGTCATTTTTCATATTCGAATTTTTTATGTTATTGTTTATTATATTCCAAATAATTTTATTCTTAATTGCAGTTTTTATTATTTTATTATAGTTTCCTTGTTTTTGTTGGATAATTATACAACATCTTAATATTTTTGAATATGTCATATATTTTTGCCTGTGGATATGTTTACAATCCTTGTTAGCAAACCTGTACTTCATATATAGTTGCCTTTTCTTATGACAATATTTTTTATACCTTTAGTAATCCATTGGGATTTATTTGTTTTTTTTTTTTTGTGATTTTAACTGTTATCTTAGGAAAACATAAATTGAAATATAATATTAGAATGTCATGAAAATCTGATAAAGCTTTATTTGCGTCTGTTTCATTTAATATGTCTATAAAAGTAAGGGCTGATAAGCAGTTTTTAAACTTGTCCATATTTTGTTTACAAAAATATCTTCTATCTTCAAACCCAGTGGTTTAGTGGGTAGACATAAATTTAAAAACTAACTACTGTAAACAGATACTGATCTGGGCTATTGTTAGTTTTTAAATTTATGTCTAATGTTTGAGCTGTGTGATCAGATATACATAAATTGTGGACTGCCCCCACTGCTGTAGTAATGTTACTTATAAAGTGATCTATACACGAAGATAGTCTTGTTTGGTGTAGTAATATGATGAGTTGTAGTTACTAAGAATATTTGTCAACTTTGTATTGTAAACATTCTTTTTAATATGTACTTTTTTATTAAGATTTACATTCTTATTTACAGGCAGTAGTAGAACATTTGTTTTGTTTAAAATATGTAGTGCTATACATAAATTACTAAAAATCCTATTAGGATTAACGTCATTTCCACCAGTACATATTATTACAACTTCACAAAATCACTTTTATTAGTATACTTTACCATGGAGGAACAACAGTTTAATACTTCTGATGACGAAGCATTTGGCTTAATTAAAGAGAATGTTTTGTACCTATCGTTCCATCTATTAATTCTTGTTTTAATAATATTCGTTGACAAACCTACTGTCTATTCATCGCCCAGTATAAATATGTTAGGTTTTGAAGATGCATCCTTTACTTCTATTTGATGATTTAATGAACAATCTAAGTTTAGATTCTGTAGTTTATCTTTATTTGTAATATTATTTAAAAGAATTTTATTAATGTTATCTGGTTTTTCTTTCTCTCCTGATGGTGTAGATGATACGATATTCTGTTTGTTAAGTAATATTTCATCTGCATTTTTTTTACTTACTGGAGTTGTAGGCAATAGTTGAGTAAAATTCATCTTGGTTTTATTCATGTTAATTTTTTCAGTGTTTTTTTATTTTTTCTGTCGATTTACATATTTTAGTTAAATGAAATAATTTATTTTTATATTCCTCAATCTGTTTCTTTGGAGATATGTTTTCAGAAAGCAATTGTTCTATTTCATTTTCGGCTATTTTTAAGTTTGTTTCTAGATCAGTGTTCGTTTGTTTTACTGTTTCTAATTCTCCATACAAATTCCTGAACTCAGGGCAACTTCTATTCATACATACTTTCACACTTTACAACAACTTTCTATCGTAGACATGTATGAATTATTATGTTCTTCAGTATCAAAAGTGGGCTTTTATTTTTTCTCCCGCTCGCACATTCTACCTCTCACCTAGTAACGTCAAAGATTATGTAACCGAAAGATATTTCGATAATCAGATTTAGCCTTTTATTATTCGAACTGAAACTTTCTTCAAATTCAATTTAATTATATATTAACGTATTTTGATATTTTACATTTAATTGATTATCGAATTAATAAAACTTTAAAGGCTCTCATAAACCTAATTAAGCTGTGTTGTGTGCACCCTTTGTACACCTAATGATACAAAAGGTAAACTATAATTTGGTTATGATAAATATATAAAATATATTTTTGTTTAATTTATTTAACTTTCTTGTGACCTCCACTACACTTTGGACATACATCAAGGGAGTTTCCTTTCTGTGGCAATATTTCATATATGATAACGTCTTCTCTGTACGCTATTGTGAACCTTATTGACTTTAAAGTTTGTTTATATTAAATAGCTCAGTTGTTGTAGCGGCCACCTATAGGAACCCCTGTTTGTTTTTTTTTTCACGTACTTATATGGTATTAAACCTATTGTACTATAGGCGAACAGTCACATCCGGCCCCCTAATTATTAAGGAGTTTACCGGATTGATAATTACAAATATTCTGTTGTGCTCCCCCTCCCCTTTTGACATTACCATCTTAAATCTATTTCCCTATAGGCGAACCGTCACAGTCCCTTATGGTCTCTTGAGGACAAAAGTTTTAAGCTTCTGCCCTCTGTAATTGCATGGTCATACCCCACCCAAAACACAGATTTGTATATACTGCTGTCTAGTAGCAAAAACATAAGTGAAACATAGGTAATCCATGTAGACAATTTACAAAGAACAAATTGTTATCACACAAGTTACTTGACATTAATACTATGTTCAGGTTATTTGATGCTATCTAGCGGTTGAAAAAATCAAAACATACAAATCATAGAGTAGAAAATAATTATGAGGTCTGGAGAAGAGCGGAAACATAAGCAAGTTAGACGCTTGCTATGCTATGGTAATTTCAAGCACTAACACAATACAAAATGCTAAATAATAAAGTGTCTCCCTTAACTATATTATGAAACCTGCTCTTTTAAGTCTGTGTCTCGTAAAATTAATATTACCAATACATAGATAGGTCGACATTGCATTGAAAATGCGAGAGGCAAAGCACTAATGAGTAGGTGCTGTCTAGCTGACATAATATAATTGGTTTTGAATTGGTTAATTTTCTAAACGAATGACCTCATGTGAACGGTCCATACTGCGAGCGTACTCACCCCATTTATCATGCTGGGATCGAGAACGGCCCGTATCTGACGAACGCCACTCCTCGTTCTCATCGCGAGACTGCCGCCAATTCGTGGTTTGACCTTGCCGTTTACTGATAACAAGTGAAAATTTTATCATTATTATTAAGTAATATAATGTAACGATGATGATGATGAATAGATATGTCTTTGTTAAAATATAATAGGGCTTGTTGAAAATTAACGCTACAGTACTCTGTATTGCAACATGACAATGAGGTATTTTCTTATCAACACTTCAACATCAATGTATTAATTTACCTACATATGAGTTACACGTGTTTTCATTATGAGCCCTTTATGTTTGGTGATTATATTTCATCGTGTTATTTACACATCATATGTAAACACAAAATTCTATTTTATCTATAATAACCTGACCTAAAAACTATATTGCGCTTTAGGAGAGACTTAACAATATGAAAAAGGGAAGCGGAAACATGATATTTATACCACAGGACAGATACTGCTGTTACGACGTCAATTATGACATTTGTTCAGACTGTCACCCTATAGGAACTGATGACGTTTTCTTAATCACATATCATAGGAGGACCAATTAATTCAATTTGTAATGTAATTCAATTTGTAAAAAGTTCAATTTGTTTCACGAAATCTATGCACCCGACCACATTATAAATGAAAGCTTTGACATGAGATAAAGCATGACCTATTTCTGAATATATTATCTCTTGTACGTTTGATATACATAGACGGCTTCGCCCCCGCGTCTAGTCGCGCTGTCACCCAAAGGGCGGTACAATACAAAAGTTCAATGATATGCCAACGGCAGAAGCCGGCGTTAACTTAAGATTACATTTTTACTGACGAGAAATAAAAAAATTGGTATAATCAGAAATCAATTAATACCTATTTTACATAAAGTAGTATACTTAGAATCAAATATTTTTCTTTAGTTTAGTATTTTTATCATGATAATATATTATGGAACACTTACAAGTAGAAATATGTCGTACCTTTTCAGTATTTAACATAAAAAAATTAAACAAAATATTGTTCTAAAGAAATTCTATCATTCTATATTATAAACAATTAATAACATATACATGGCTATTTATTTACCATATTCCAAATAGAAACAATACTAGTTTTATTGTTATTAACATCTATACACTTTCTGTGTTTAAAATAAAATTATACGCACCTTCTAAACATTTTGCTCCAGTCTGTTTGGTCACTATTGTTTCTGTTAGAGCTTGAACCGTTACTTGTATTCCAAGATCGTTGCGAGGTCTCATCATCTGTACCAGTGAATGACTCTCTTCCAGGAACCCTCGTGCCTCCCGAATACCACGATCCTCTGTCGATATAATTTAATATATTGGTATGGGCATGTCAAAAAGAGAAAGAAAAGTCATTTTTAAAGAAAGTGAAAGATGGCACATAGTCAGTCATATCAGCCTAAAGTGTATATACTCAATCATGCTTAAAAAGCTATATTAATTTAAAATTAGCCTTATTCACCATTTATATTATTACAGTAAAAGATTACAGAAAATTAATTATAGAAGAACACTGAGTATTTTAAATAATATTGCAATGAAATTTGAATTAGACATTTTACACATACTATTGTTATTATTTCAGCCATTAACTATCCACTGCTGAACATAAGCCTTCCTCATAAGGGGAGTTTTGACACTAGTTGGCACGCTTGGCAACCGCAGTTAGGCTTTTAGAGATGTTTTAAGAGGAACGCTGCTGCCCATCCCTCGCCCTCCCTTAGTCGACTCTTACGACATCCACGGGAAAGGAAGGAGTGGCCTATTCTATGTTGGACTACACAGCAACACATACTATATGACAAATCAATTATATTAAAATCTTTAATTATGCCAGGTATACATACAATTAATGCTACTAATAACATAAATCTGAAAGTTTGTAAAGATGTTTGTGTGTTATTCAAGCACACTTAAACGACAGAACGAATTTTGATGAAAATTCTTATATTTTATATCCTAACACATAGGGCACTTTATATACTGATACAGGCGGGCAAAGTAATGGAAAACATGATCATGCTGTCTTCTACTAGTATGCAGAAAGAGATTACAAAAACGCCAACACAAAGATACACAAACAGACCTATAGAAGTTAGTTACGAATACGAGTATTTGTAACTTGGACCAGTTTCAGCATGTTCCCAATAATATTTGATCCACAAAATTAATCTAGTGCATAAAAAATATAACCATTTATTTCAAGTCGTTTGTTTCAAAAGAGATGTAAAAGCCGCGAATGTTGTTATATGTTATATCTTAACCAATATATACACGCACCTCCCACTTGATGTATGGCGGGCGAAAGGCATCCGTGGTCTACCCCTGCTCTCGCCACCGAGTGTGCCCCGAGAAGCAGCTCCTCTTCCCGCACCGAACCTCTCGTTAAGTGGAACATTCCCGGGAGGCGGGCCACTTCTCACATTACTTGGCTGTGTATACCAAATAATTATAAATAGTCTGCTTTTACATACTCAATACATTTAGGGAACGATTAAGAAATAAAAATATGCAATCCTAACTATTATTAATTGTGAAAGTAATAGTAATGGTGCCATGTCAACAAAGTCAATTGTAATAAAATATTGTCATATACATACACCTTTATTCATAAAAACTAAAACCTACTATAAACCTATATGCAGTGTTTTGTCACTTTCTTTCAAATTGAGAAATTAGTACAATGGAAAAAGACAAAACTATCTAAAAGAGGTTTATAATAAGACGTTTTACGTTCTTACAAATAAGAGGGATAGTATTTAAGAAGTAAAAAGATATAGACGACTTTTTATCACGTGGTTACACAATCACGTAATCTGATATTTATTGACGGATGAAATATTAATTTTATATCGCGTCTAAAACTAGTAGTATATAGTGAACTAAGTTTTTTTAATTAGCTATTAAATTTATAAACTGTCATTTTAATAAAGAGATACGCTAAGATTATAACTATAACAAGTGTAGAAAAGCAGATTAAACATAAAAATCATGACTTGACTGGTCAATCACAGTGAGAACTAGTCGAGTTGTGAAATTGTAAATGAACAGTTTCATTAAACTGTAAAACAGGCAACTAGTCTTAGAATAATTTATATGAAACCGTTCATAGTCACGGTTCTCAAGAAAACATCCGGATCGGCATATTGGAAGCGAGGCCTCACCAACATGCCGTTCACATAAAAATTATGATTTTAAAGAACTCACCATATCATCTTCAAATGAATTGTTTAGTGCTAATGGTGTTTTTCCACGTGCTTGATAAAGGAATTCATTATGTTTTAATTCTAGTGGGGCTTCTGACGATCTGTCGTACATTGCCAACATTTCTTCTCTGCCATATCTATTTAAAACAAAAGGCAATTTAATCTTGATAATAAATTATAACTAGTACTTATTTAGAAATATAGAAAAAAAGACATGAAAATATTTTTTGTTAGTAAAGAAGATAATTTATTGTATTTTTCTGATAATTATCGTATTTTTATCAATGTTTTTAGATACTGTATAACACATCAGACAAATGACACCAAAGAAAGGCTGTAAAAATCGTTTATATAAACAAGTAACTCTACCATACTCGTATTTATACCGTGAAGCAGTTGTGCTTCCACGGCTGCATTTCGGATTGAAGAGAGGGATATGGCTGTGAATTAACTAATAACTATATCCATATTTCATTTTAAGTGAACTTTGTGTATTTATGAGAGAATAAAAATATTTAAACATAAAGAATATAGAGAAATATCATCTAGTCCTCAGGAACAGTAATATAAAAAGTGCAATGGTCATCATACTATTCTATATTGTACCTGGTGCCATTGATGGCTATAGGCGACGGTTAACGCTTTCCATTAAGTGAGCAGTCAGCTCGTTTGCCATTCAAAAAATCATAAAAAATATATCGACTAGACCAAAAATATAAGATCTTCATTACAATAAAAAAAAAACATACCGCAATTTAGCCAATAATAATTTTGAAGTGCCGCCTGCAGCATTTGATGTTGCTGTTGATGATACACTTGTGCCCGGCGTGGTGCTGCTGTTATTGGAGCCGCCGGCAGCTGCACCAGTAATGCCAGCGGCATTCCCTGCGCTGGTCCCGTTCCCAGCATACCCAGACTGATTATTTTGACTCCCCGAACCGGGACCGTTACGCTCCCTCGACAAATTTCGGAGCCATTCTGGTCCAAACTTTATGGGATTTTTGCGATCACCCATTTTAGATGACAGTTTTGTTAAGCAACAGCACAACTTGATTACAATTTAGCAGGTGACGATGGAGATCTGTAAAGAATTAATAATTATGTTAGATCAACTAAAATAATTAAGAAAGCTCCGGAAATGATTGAGATCTGCGTTCTTTAAACGGGTACAGGTTTTATGTACAAAATACGTAAACAGTGTGTAAACTATCAAATAAATAGCGTGTATGTATCCCAAGCTTTTATACCTATTATAAAAAATTATAAGTATCTACGTATAAGTAATTATTCCTTAGCTTGATTAGACAAAGCCGTCAATATAGAACACTTCAAATTGCTTTGCACAACACATAAAATATTAAAAAAAAAGAATACCACATCTTCTCTATAGTAAAATGAATAGCGATTAAAATGATTAAAAAAAACCCTTGCGTCTGTCGTTAAAGACAAAAACACACTGCGATAGTGGAGTATAGAATACAATGAATAGAATCTATTAGCCACTCAGGCGGTTATGAATTGTAAGCTTTTTCTAATAACATCGAAGCTTATCGCTTTTAATTGCAACAACTTCCAACAGGGTTACAGACCTTTATTGCTCAAATATATTACATAATTCCAAGTAGCGTACTGTGTTTTGACTTCGTTTTATTTATTCCCAGTAAAGCGCAGCACAATTGCCGATTTGGATTCATTAATATTCAATATAAGCAATAATTGTAGCATTATTATACACAAATTTTACAATGTTGGCTAAATCAATATTTGCATACTTAATATATTGGAACAGTTCGCAAAGCCGCTATTAACACTGTTGCAACATTCGCCAGGCATTTTAAATAAAAAAAAATATTATATACAAGATTAATATTAGGAATAAATTTAAAGCTTTCTTTCTTGCACTTTTATTAAATTGTGTATTATATATAAACATCTCTAAGATGTTTTGTAATATCAGCCGTTACTGCCCACTGCTGAACATAGACCTTCGGGTAAGATGCTTGGGGATTTAGCCAGTAGTTCCCACGCTTGGCAGACGTATTGCCAACCGCAGTTAGGCCTTGATGAAGTTATAAGAGGGACGCTACTACCCATCCCTCGACTATTAAGTTCTCTTAGCCGCCTCTTGCGACACCCATCAAAAAAGAAGGGGTGGTCCAGTCAACGCTGGGACCAAATGGCTGTACGTGCATACAATGTAAAATCACATAACATACAATAACCTAAATTATGAGCATACACACACCTATAAATGACGATATGTTACGTGGACCTTGCATTGAGAATATTATATTTTAAAACGCAGAATAGCGTGTCTACAAGTACAAAAACGACAGCTTAAATGGATTAAAAAAAGAATAAATAAAATCGGAAACTGCTGAACATAAGCCTCCCCCTTGGGGAGGGGGAAGGTTACCAGCAGTTAGGCTTCGGAAATATTTTAAGAGGGACGCTGGCTGACTGCTGGCCATTCTTCACCCTCCCTTAGTTGCCTCTTACATCACCCACGTGAAGAGAAGGGATGGCCTATTCTATGCAGAGACCACACGGGATAAATAATAATGTTTACAGTAATAAATAATATTGTCAAATTTCAAGGTGTAAAATATTTGTATATAAAAATGAGTATGTGTACAATGAAAAATGTCGTACCTTTTATAAACTTATATTCTAAGGTATCTAAACATCTATACCCCCCGTCATCCATACGTTTTGTACCTTTTACTATTAGACTCGTATATTGTAAGACTAAATCGAATGAAACTTAAATGATTCGACAGATACATGTATATAGCAACTGTTGCATCCGACAATGGCGACCTCACCTTAACTCATGCATTATTATCAAATGACCGAATATGGCTTGCAAAACCTATATATGTCAGTAATAGCTTTTATCCGCGACCTCGACCTCGCCACCAGGACATAGTGATTGGCCGGGATAAATAGTAATATCGTTCCTCATCCGTACATATTACATGATTACCAAATTTCTTAACAATTGGTTGAACCGTTAAGACACCAAAAACAAACTTCGCTTTACATTTACAATACTAGCTGAATCTCGCAGCTTGGCCCATGTGAATCAAAGCATAAAGTATCCTATGTTCTAAATAAGGATATAAATCTAACCAATCTATGCAAAAATTTTCATTCAAATCTGTTTAGTAGTTTTTGCGTAAAAGTAACAAATAATTACAATACATCCTTATTTACTTACTCCCTTTTTCATAAAAATTAAAACCTTCTACAAATGTATTTTAACTATTAAACTATTTTGTCAACTAGTTCACGGCAGAACACGAATGGGAGACAGGTATCTAAAAAGCAGGCGAATTTTGTACAAAATTTAGCTCTAATGATGATGAAATAGATTAGGTCATTACACTATTTTCTTATCAGTTACAACGATGACGTCCTATTTCAAGAAACTAAAATTAATGCCAGGTCATTATGTAACCAAAAGGTAATATTACATTAGATTCACATTATAATGCACCATAGTAATAAGTTAAGTGAAACTATAGTAACAGCTAATCACTGGTCGAACTGTAGATATGTCCTTAAACTCTACCTTATTGGTATAAAAATAAATGTAGGTAGTCATTATAGGTCATGTGTAGATGCTCCTCTATTATTCATCTCAAAAGATTTCGATGACAATATCATTCGTCGGCCGCAACAATAGCAACAATACTAATAATAGAACGAAACAGAATATTAATTTCATTTGTTATTGTAATTTTTTATGACGTTTGTATTTGAAACTACGCTCCTTCGGTTTATTTTCTTTCATATTCAAACCAGTTTATTGCAACATAAAGTTCAGTAAATAATTTAGGCGGAATACAAAAAGCAGTCTTAACGGTAACAGTGCAGATGGTGTGATAAAAAGCAGGTGGTGCGCCGGAAAATTAAAATAATTGAAACTAACAACTTCATAAAATATAAATTAAACTTATTTTACTTTAATACGAATGTTCGAACTTTAGTTAAATTCGTATTATAAAATTCTAATCGCTTTAAAACTAAACTTTATTTAATTTTATATTAGTTAAAAACACTTAGCCATTGCATGGGGAACATTAGAAATGCCAATTGTGAGGAATATAACTTAATGTATACTACCACCTGTTGGAATGAGTCAAGAATGACAACAAAAGAATGACAAGTTAAGGTTCAAAATAGGTATCACTATATTAGCACATCTATTCTACCTCAGACGAGGGACATCTAGTATCCTAATGTATGATTAGGTAGGTGTAAAGTAATACTTTTTAACTAAGTTTTTTACTAAGCATATACTTTTTTACTAAGCATATACTTTTTTACTAAGCATATACTTTTTAAAACTTGTTAAATACACATTTAATATCGACTTTTTTTGCTACTCTATTATACTTAACCCCCGCGACGTTACGTTCTAAAATAGAATAAAAAACGAGGAACTAACGTGTAAAATTGACCTAAATAATGATAAGGCAAATCATCAATGCAACATCAATAAGTAAATATTACCAATTTACTATAGGAAAACAAACAGCGCAAATCATGTGATGTACATAACCTAAACCAATTCAGATTTAAATAATATCATTAGTGTGATAACCACAAGTAAATATAATCATACCGTGTATTATAGAACATCAGACAAAGTAAAAGACAGCATAGCCCCCAAACGATGTAAAAAATACATTTAAACCTTATTAGACTTGTCTAAATTTACAGTTTCAATCGAAGGATAAATTTTACCGACAACTCCTTTACGCAAAGCAACGATACACAATGTAAACAATCAGTAGCATATATAGAACTTCCCAACTGTGCTTTGAATTCAGAGCACATTCGAGAAATTCTATGCAACAGATTTGTTTACAATGCCAGCAATATTAAAACAAAACTCGAACTGCAATGGTATTATTGCACAACAAAATATATACTGACATTATAAGTATTATGCATTATTAATTGTGCCTGCAACTTTGTATGCGCGCTAGTTAAAATTAATACTATTTATTGTCACACCCGGTCTCTTATGGAGTAGACAGAAAGAATAAAGCCTTCTATTCTTACATACTTTTCTTGGTTCGTCAATTTTTTATAACTGATCCCATACATCCCAATTCAGGAGAATTTTGGCTGCTCCCTGAGACAACAATCAATCTATATGATTATGAAATTGGCATAATTCATAAAAATATAATGTAATCACATTATATCACTATAGACCTCTGCATTCTACATAACTATATACAACAAAAATATGCCTTCTGATTCACTCGGCCGGTGCTGATAATACAACTCTAGTAAGTTGAACTTGGCCGTGTGGTGCCGGTTTAGAATAGACCATCCCTTCTTTCGTGTAGGTGACGTAAAAGGCGACTAAAAAACTTAATGGTAGAGGGATATGCAGCAGCGTCCCTCTTAAAACATCTCTAAAAGCCTAACTGTGATTACCAACCCGCACGCCAAGTCTGGCAACTACCGGTAAAACTCCGGTTACGGAGAAGGCTTATGTTCAGCAGTTAACAGTTAACAGCTGAAATAATGATAAAATGATGAAGTTGAACTGACCTATAATTTATAATCGATAATATTATCGATTATAAATTTACAGGGTACAGAGGAATAACACCTAAGTCCTCAGGAATGACAACGCATGGGAGGTATCATGGGCGAAACAAAATACTCTGTTATGTCCATGGTGCTCCACATTTTCACTTTCCATGCCATAACGATATACAATAACTAAAAATTGTGTCCCACAAAAAAATCTACTTCAATTATGACAGCCATTTGGATAAAATGTCTATGGGACCAATCTCTGAATATACCCTTTCATATAAAAGAATTTTCCAAATCAATTTAGAATTGACGGATTTATGAGGTAACTAATTATAAAAAAATATATAACTCAATTGAGAACCTCCTCCATTTTGAAGTCGGTTAAAAACGGCATAATTTGTGGTAATACTTGGCATATATCGAAATACAATATTCAACGTCTTACAAAATAAATAACAATAGAACTAATAAATGTATTTTATATTCAAAATATCAAATTCCCAAAAAAAAAAGTCTCAACTGTTCACTGAACATGTCAAATATAAAGAGATAATAGATATTAAATAGACCTTGACATATCATTAGGTACCACCCAAGTTCCAAAGTAAACAGAACCTGTATACTCAATGTGTAACAGACATAATCGGTTTCAATACAAATTTATGTAAACATAAACAAACAAATAATTGACCCAACCGATAAGACAATCCTCTAAATAGTACTACAAATCAAAAATTGATTAATTAGAGTTAGTTAAGTAATAAACGTAACTAATTTCTATTAATTGTATGTTTTGATTTATTACTATCTTTATTCAGTGATTAATGCTTATATAACAAATTATATAAAGCTTACTATACTAAAAAAAAAAATTCTAAACACAAATAATACAGAAAAACGGCAAGACTTACACAAATTAATATAAAAAAACATCTGTGGGGATTGAACCTGCAACCATCATATGGTGAGGCAATGCGTGAAACAAACAGCTCTACCACCAAAGTCGTCCGTAAACACAAAAACATAAATAGATGACATTTGTACACGCGCCAGTAAGTGAAGTACGTGAAGTGCCGTGCGACGACTTTTTTCAAACAGTCATATTAGAAGTACAGAAAACAGAACGGATGAGTACAGCACAAGAGAAGCAGGACCGACAAGATGGCTTAAATAGTGACAAAGTTAGTTAGGAACCAACAAAAAAGTTAAGACTACAAATTGCAAAATTATCAAACTTGATTCAAAATTAGCGAAAGTATTGCGTAACATTATACAAAAATAAACTAGCATATTGCAAAAGTCTGATTTCTGAGGTCGCCGTGTGGTCCCTACGTAGAATGGACCACCTCCTCCTGTCCCGTGGGTGTCGTAAAAGGCGACTAAAAAAACATAATGGTCAAGCAACGAGCAACAGCGTCCCTCTTAACTCATCACCAAAAAGCCTAGCGGTTGCCAACCCGCCTACCAAGCACGGCAAAATTGCAAAACCCCGCTTATGTGAGAGGCCTGTGTCCAGCAGTGGACAGTTAATGGCTGACATAATAATAAATTTCTGATGTAACTTCTAAATCAAAATATTAATTCTGAACAAATTTTATAACAAACATTCCTCTCCAAAAGAACTTTTGTAAGATCCATTCTGGAATAAACAATAAAAAACAATAACCTCTCTAAATTTTAATTTTTTCACAAACAACTAACACATTCATAGAGACTGCATTTTCATAAATTAATTACTCTGAAAAATAAATATGTGGAATATTGACCATATTAGTATTGCACAACACAAAACGATCAAAATCAGTTCACAACTGAGATGCATATCATGTGACATAAATAAGTGCTGTAGAGTATAAAATCTCGGTCAATTTAAAGGCGATTAAAAATAAATTCCCAATTTGTCACATAAAAGGAATTTTACTTTTCTAAAAAAGAAATTAATGTTAAACAAAAACACCTGCCTACCCTCAAAAAAAAAAAGAAAAAAAGAAGTCATTTAACATGCAATATGATTTCTGCGTGGTAGGAAGATAGGATGGGCCACTCTTTCCTATGGGTGCCATAAGAGGCGAAATGCCTCTATAAGAAACCCCCTTATAGAAGAGAATATGATCAACAGCTGATATTATAATGATGATCATGGCATTAATGAGAAAAAGTACAAAAGTAAAAAAGCAATCAATATTTAAAAGAATAAAAGCTTTTAGTATTCACATCGCTTGCCCCATGAAGGACTTGATGTAATATAATAATAAAAGTGGAGCTGACTGTAAACATTTCCCAAAAAGTCTCTGTAATGATAATAAAACACAAATTATATACAACTGATACTTTAAATGCTACAAATAAAACTAGTTTCAAAATGTGGGTTAAAACAACAGCATAATTAGTTACAAGTTTTTAATATGTAACTAGGCAATTCACAAAATATTAAAGCAATGAATATAACATTTTAGTTTTTAGATTATCAATATTATAATAATAAAGGTTATTAAATTATAATATCCAATTCATTTGAATGTTGAATTAGTATTATTTGATATATAAAATAACTTGTTTTTTTTAGCAGAATCATCTGTATTAAACATACATACATACACCTTTTATTCTATAGATTTTGCTATGCTTTATTATTTAGTGAATAGCTCCAATAAACACAATTAATACTCAACAAATAATGTTGTAATAAGGTGGTATATAAAAGTGGGGTTTGTAATGCTCAGTTCTCTCTACTGAACCTGTGATGGATTTGATGATGAACTTTCATTTCAATTTTTAACTGAACAATGTCGAAGGAAAGAATGTGTAAGTAATAAATGTGCAAAATATTAAAGAAAAAACAAAAATTAAAACAGGATGGCATTATATAAGAATAAATTTTAAGCTTCATTCACTATACTTATTCTCTAGCCCTTGTATGTTGTCATTTGTTTTATACCTATTAAAGCATAAACAACATACTAAATGCATGTGACAATTTCTCGAGAGAACTGGTTATTTAACCTCTATATATATATATATATATATATATATATATATATATATATATATATATATATATATATATATGAATAACCTAGGAAACAACAATTTACAGGTTTCTATTTTTACAACAACATACTATTATCATAGACTTTTTGTCCGCTGCCTCAAATGTGTGGTTTCAGAAATAAGAAAACTAATGACATCAACCACTGCTAGTTGACATATCAAAATAAAACATATACTAGATATTTAGATCTTCAGAAAAACAACTGAAAACTGTATCTAATTTTATGCAAGTTTTTTTTGATAACAGAAAAAACATTTAGACTTAACAATCTCCTATTGAGGAAGGCATTGTTAGTAAAGTTAGCAGACTACCGACCTCATTGCTAGCAATATACTGTCAGGTTGATTTCCACATGATCCCCACTGGAACCAATTGTGCTGAATTCCAGGTGTATTTATCACAATGAGCTAAATGACCTGCCTTTTCATTCTCACCATTCATCGCTCCTGGTGCCTCACCAACATATGTGCGCAGACAGGATTACTATTTCATTATCATTAATTAAAAAAAAAAAACTTTTATGTATAGACATTGCCTAATTACCATATTAATAAGATGCTGTGAAGTAATACCACTGGAAATTATCAGGAGCAACACAGAAAACTGTGAATTAATGAAGTCTCTTTTAATTAAGCACTTTTATATTTGATAAAATGTGAGGTAGAATCACATTTCAGAAAAACTCAAATTGTAAACTACTTTCACTTTTGATGTATTTTCAATTACTTTTCAATAATCATGATAATAAAGAATAAAATTAGTTAAAAAAAATACCAACTATGTCATTTAAAAACACTCTGACACACTATTGTAATAAAATAACTGATTAATTTCCATCAAAAAATCACAACATGAAGAGTCACAGTCATAATATTATGAAATAAATAAACAACATTATGCAAATATGCATACAAAATCTCGCATAAGCACAATATGACAACATAGTATAACAGGTGGACATAATCTGAAACTCAGCAATATCAATAAATGCATATAGACATACAAATGTACAGATCTTTCAAATAAAATTAGTATATTTTAAACTTTAAAGGTTTTGTTTTATAAAGCCCATTATTTAAAAAAAAAAAACAATTCCCTTATAAAAACAAAAGGAAATATCAACAATATTTCAAAATATATACAATAGACTTACTTCTTTACAAAGTAAGCTATATCCAAAATAATTCACCCCAGAGGGTAATATGAAAAAAAAAATATAAATTTACGGTCAATATTTAAATTATTTTTTCAAGGCATACTAACTTTTCAATTGCAGAAACACATCATAATAATAGGAAGTCATATAATAATACTGTTTTTCATGTAGTTAAATATAGTTGTTTAAGTGTATAATAGTCAATAGTAGTACAAGAGAATAATATGTGATACATATGTGGCACATATCATTCACATAGTCGACAGCATTTATGAAGATACATCAGCACGCAGTAAAACCGAAAGCACCTCGTGCTCTGGGGCTCAAATACACACATAATCAGAGTCAAGGTGGCAATAGGTTTAAACCCGTTTTCAACCTATGTCGCAAAAAAGGAATACATACAAAGTTTTTTCGCAACACAGTAAAAGACAATAAGAGGCAAAGATTACAAATAGCAGTAATTGTAAGAAATATTAACTTACAATTCGAGTGATTGAACGCACGCACGTAGACGCAGCAATATGGCCGACCAAAGTGAAGAATTATTTTGCTCGTTGTGAATGTCAACGCATGCACGATTCCGGCCATAGACATATAGTGTTGCCCGTATATATCGCAGTAATTCAAAAAGGTTTTAGTACAAACATTTTTCATTACATTTATATCTATTACATTGGACACTTTTAACATTTATTGATACTGTAGAAAATTTTTAAAAATTTCGACGAAATTTTATGCTCGATTTAATGCACCTGAATTTCCATTGGAATCAATTAAGCCAGCTTAGATAGAAATACTGCTTGACGGAAAAGTGCACTATAATAAAACATTCAAAGTTCAAAAACAAACACAGTCTTTTGAGCGGCTTTTTCAATGTATTTGTTTGTAATTTTTTATGAATTATTTATTGATATTATTATTAAATAGATCAAGAAAATATCTTTCTAGATAATATATTTTTTTAATTTAATAAAAATTACTCTATTAACAATGTAAAAATTGGCACTTCAAAAAATATTTACAAATATGTAGCAAATATTTTAGAGATAATGATTATTTAAAAAAACGCCAACATAGTTGGTTGGTTGATCATTGCATTTTAAGTGACTTAAAGGAGGAGATATTCTATTAAATTATATTTCGTGTGTATTATTATGTTAAAATTTTCATTGATTGTGAATATATATTTATTTTATTAAAAATTTACTTGCTTAGATTATGTAAGTAGAATGTTTCCATACAAATGCTTCGCCAAAATCAGGTCAAGTTTTTTAACCATGGACATGTGTGAATAGAGTTACTATAGTGAAATTTATTACTCAGTATATGGAAGAAATATCATTGTAAAGTTAAATTGAAAAATACAAATTGTAGAATTTTTTTATGAATCTATTTGAGTAAAAAAAAACAGGACTAACAGTATGTATTGATTTGCAATGATGCTTATCTTTACTGATTACTTTGATTTATATTTGTATAAAATATGTTTTCGTTTTAAATTATTTATAATTTGTAAATATATGTGCATATTTATATTATATCATATCAAAAACATTCCAATTTAAAATAAAAAAAAAATTCAGTTGATCTGGGAAATTTCTAATCTATTTAATTACTTGTAACACTGAAAGAAACACGGGCTTTGATTTGATTTTATTTTTAAAAAGATTAGCTAACTGACTAAATTTTGACCCATCCAAGGTCCCATGCTAATTTTCTATTTATTTCCTCCTCTATATATATTGCAATGAAGATAAGGTATATGTTTCGTATCAAGTTTTAAAAACAGGTCATCTTTTTATCAGCTAATTTTAATTTAATAATAATTCGATTGAGCCGACTCCTTTATTCACTTTTTACATATACGACGTTAGTTAATGTGTTGCATTAAAAACATGCAAAAATTATATGATCAAAAATAACAAAATAAAGGAGCTACTTATTACTGATAAGAGTCTTAAATTTAAAGAGTAATTTAAAAAATTAAATATCACATTTTTAAGTTGCACGTTTTGTACTATTGCAATTATTCGAAAAAAAATCCCATAAAATTAATTAAGATGGTTGGTCCTTAAACAAAACTAGACACAACATACTAGATGACGCTGGAATCGATTTTTGTATTATTTATTGATTATTTTGTAATTAAAGATAACTTAAAGCAAAATTTCTAAATTTGCGGACGGTTATATTATTTTTTTACCCGTATAGTAATAACTTATCATCTTTTCTATTCTTATTCTCCTGTGTTGTACATTTTTTTAAAAAAATACAGACTAGGATGGAATATTGCGAGTGTGTGAGTCATTATTCATTCAAGTATAGGTTGCGTATTATCTGTCATTTCATTTTCAGACATATGTGTAGATAGGTAGGTATGTATCTACTCTCAAAAGTATGTGACTTTCATTTTTGTCTGGCACGCGGAATATTATTTATAATTAACGCGGAATAATATTTTAGTACCTATAATAATAGTGTTCGTTGGATATATTAATTTAGTTTCGATGTAAGCTAATGTTTACTCAACTGTCGAAAAAAACGATTTTTTTTTATTCATCATGAATATTTCTCTCATACATTTTACACTATCTAAATTACCTATATAGATAATTTCCAGGGTCTGATGATGAAGTCGGAAGGTGGCCATAGCAACTATTGAACTATATTAGATAATCTAATCATGTTTGGGCTCATTTGATTTATCTTCTCAAATGCTACAGACCTAGCTGATTTCCAGGTCCTGATGATGGAGACGGAAGGTGGTCATAGCAACTTCTGAACTAAATTAGGTAACCTAGTCGTGTTTGGACTCATTTGATTTATCTTCTTAAATGCTACAACTCTAGCTGATATCCAGGTCCTGACGATGGAGTCGAAAGGTGGTCATAACAACTTCTGAACTAAATTACGTAACCTGGTCGTATTTTAGCTCATTTAATTTGTCTTTACAAGTGCTACTGCCCTAGGCAGTTTTCGGGGTTTTGATGATAAAATCGAAAGGTGGCCATAGCAACTATTTAACTATATTAGATAATCTACTCATGTTTGAGTTCATATGATTTATTAGAGGGAGACTTTGTACATGCAGACCACCAGCCCTATTGCTAGCAATACACCCTGTCAGGTCGGTCTCTTCGCGGTTCTTCCTGGAAACTATCGTATTCAATTCCAAGTGAATTCATCACAATGGGCTAACTGATCTGCCTTTTCATTCTCGCCTATCATTCCTCACTGGTGCCACGTCAGCATATACCGATAGTGCGGGCTGGGTTACCATTCCATTATAATCCATTTAAAAAGCTTCATGGTGTTTGTTAACTTGTCAAATTAATTATGAAATAAAAATCTATTTTTAAAAGCAATTTTATTTATAGGTTGACAAACTTATGAATCTAAAGTTCAGCTCCTAAAGGCTATTACAATTTTTAAAATGACACTTATAACTTATCAATTTAATATAGAGTTTCATAAATTTAATTGTACTTTTCATTAATACAAATATAGTTTAAATATTTGCTGCTTTATCTCATAGTAAAATACCATTTACAAAGCCAATTTGAATAATAAAAGAGTGCCATCAGCAAACATACATTTTAGACTACACATGCTGCTGTGTGCTGACATAGCGGGCGCTCAAACAACTTTAAAAAAAATTATATATAACTAATTGATATGACAATAACTTTTAAAGTATAAATCCGATTTTAATAAGCCATAAATTGTTTGATAGCAATTTGTATCTTCTTTGGTACGTAATAAATATTAAAACCAAAAATAGTTAACAAAAATAAATGTAAAGACATCTTTATGTCAAATTAAAAAAACTGTAATATTTGATATTTCGCTATATAATGTACAATTATACGTATTAAAAAATAAAGTCATTGTAAACGTATTAACAATTTATTAATTAGAGGAATTCAACATAATTATAAAAAGCTTATTTCAATCTCACAAAAGCTGATACCTGAGTTATCGTCGTTATTAAATTAAATTAATTGGACTCTTTGGTCATTATTTGCATTAGAGTGCAGTCGACGATATGTTCCTACAGCTATTCATATAATTTTTCGATATCACTTAAAATCTTTAGTTTACTCGTTATTATGGCACCTATATTGGTCTTTAACTTAGACAATTGGTTATGCCCAATAGACAGATTTCGAGCAAAGACTTTGGAACCTTGATTATGTTCTATTATTTATTGATCTCATACATCACGTATTGATCTATTAAACTGGTGTGTCTCTCTGTATGTATTTGAAGATTTGTCTATTCAATTGCCTATTATGTCATCATAATGGTTATGCTGCGATCAGATTGCGTCTATACCTCATAAATAACTAATCTCCCATGAGATTTTCTGCGCACAACAGGCCCGACGCAAAGCAACGGTTTTTTTAATAGATGATAATGAAGTTGTACTCGTAATCCTGCCTACGCTAACGTTATACGCCGGCAGGACACTAGTGTTGTTACAGTGATCATTTCCTGTAATTGTTTGTATCTATAATAAATTTACTATTGTAATCTTTTGGAGGAAACAATAAAGAGTATCTATCTATAATTCCTCACTAGTGCCCTGTTAGAGTATACCGATAGTGCACGCGCGGTCATCATTCCATTTTAATCCATTATAAAAAGCCCGCTGTTCTTAAATATATGATGCGAGGGCGGCAGGCCCTCACAGAATGCCTGGGCAAAGAGTTTGTAACTTAAAACTCCAACAGCTGCGCAGCCAAACAGTTGAGGTCACGCTTGATGCGCGTACAGTAGGAAAACGCGGAAAACTCCACACGGCAACAAGACGCATCTGTCGTGGTGGTGGTGGTGTAGGCGGTGGTGGCTGCCTCCTTCGCGGCCTTAATAGTGTCCAAGATCGCAACGGAGGTGCCCTCTACCACCTCTCGCCATCGAGGGAGAAACCGTCGAGTTCATGCTGAAACGCCGCCCAGTGCACTCTCTTCCTGGGGCGTGGCGTGGAAGCAAAAGTGGCCGCTACGTTTAGCGTGTTCAGAACAGGGAGGCGCAGCGTTTCTAGGTCGTACAGTACGCTTGACGCTGACGCTGACGCCGCTGGGGTTGGCGAGGGAGTTACTGAGGCAGGCATCGAAGAGGGGACAAAGACCGGGATATAACTAGACGCGGTACTTACACATACCCGCTTCGAGATCTCGGATATTCCGGCCGACCTCCCGACGGACGACTTACTTGAGCAAGTGCCTAGGCCTAGGGCCATGACAAGATAATAACCGATTTAGAAGGATCTAAAAGATCCCTCCTAATGATGGGGCAGGCGGGGGTACCCCATGGGCGACTCCGCTGCGAGGGGGGAAAGGGATTGTTAGTAATGGACACTGAGAATCCCATTGCTAGCAATATACCCAATCAGGTCAATATCCTCGCGGTTCTCCCTGGAAACTATCATGGTTAATTCCTGATGAATGCATCATGATGGGCTAACTGACCTGTTTTCATTCTCATCTATCACCCTTCACTGGTGCTCCGCCAGCGTATCCCATTAGCGCACCATACCATTTTCACCCATCAAAAAAAAGGCCCTGCTGTGACATGTCGTCAACGTTGTAGAACGACTGGGGGGTGGGGATACGAGTGAGGGGTGCTGTTGGGGGTCAGACGATTTCACAAGGAGGTCGCTGCCCTTGGCTGCGGCTGTGGTCGTTCCGCAGGGGAGTGATGCTGGGCGTGCGCTGTGCACGTGATGCTGAGACGTACAACAAGTGGGCCACCAGTTGCGCGCGCTGAGGCACTCACACACACACTGACACTGCACACGCATAATCGGCGTGCGCCTAGTCACAACTTCGAACCTGTTGCTCCACGCAGATCACGAGTGGTCGCAGTCCACGCGCGGAATAGACAAACACACAAATTTTCAAAATCCTACATTTTCTTATCAATTTTTCTCTTTCAGACAGCAGCAGCAGATGACCCTGTGCCTGTAAACACCTAACCATCCAACAGATGGCGTTAGTAGTATAATAAAGTTCTAGTTAATACAAATTGAAACTTTCATTTTTAAGTTCTCTTACAAAATGAAATTTTAATGACAGATATCTGTACATGAACTTTAATTACTATTTTAAGAGTAGTCCAAATTAAGAGATGTGATAGTTTTGTCGCCAAGCATACGCCATAAGAATGTACAGGTTGTGGAAAAGAGACAAATTTGTAATTAGATAAAGACTAAAACTACTAAAATATGTATCATTGTATTTCTATTAAATTTTTGGTAAAATTAGTTTATTGTACAAATTGTTTACGTTTACAGTCGACTTCAAAAAGAAGGAGATTATCAGTTCAGTTATTTTTTTTTTTATATTTGTTACCTCATAATTCCGTCAGTTATAAACCAATTTGATAATTATTTTATATTTTCTGAAAGGTTACAAACTGTTCCCATACAAATTGTATCAAATTCGGTTCAGTAGTTAGTTTTGAAATCAAAATTACTAATTTTGATACAATTGAAGGGGGGTTTTTGTAGAGCACATAAAAAATTATGTAATATAAGTGTCTATGGAAATAACTTTGTTCATATAAATCAGCTTGCTTAGTACCTTTTTAATTGCATTTAAAATAGAATTTTAAGAAATTGGAATAAGAATTGATATTATTTTTATCTTTGTTCTTAAAGAATGCTCCAGAACCATTACAACGTAAAATTAAATGTGATTTTAAACTATTTAATTTGATCTACAGGCACTAATATGAGGTAGCCGTAGGAAAAATATTTTAAATCAATATCATACGTTTATGTGCGCTAGTCTCAGAAAGGACTCAACCTCTTTTAAGTAGTTTCACAGCGGATCGATTTACTGTATTCATTTTGGAAACGACCCACTGTGTACCAGCTATACATTTTAATTTTATGATACAAAAAAAGAGACTTTCGGCAGTACTTTTTTTGCATCATAAAGTCAGTTAGCTATCCCTAATTTATTGTCCTTTTAATAACTGCTATTAATAAAAAAAAAAATTTTTTTCCACGTAGTAAGCAGTACGTAATTTTGTTGTTCTCTTAAAACAATAAAATTCTCGTTTTTATTTTAAATTTTATAGCAATAAAACACAAATTATTTCTTAGGTATGCCGTACACTACGCTTCTAGCCGCGTAGATCCCGACTTAGAATAGGCCACCCCCTCCTTTCCCGTGGGTATCGTAAGAGACGATTAATGGAGCTAATGATGGAGGGATGGGCAGCAGCGTCCCTCTTAAAATATTATCAGAAGCCACACTGCGGTTGCCAACTCGCCTGCCAAGCATGGCAACTACTGACAAAACCCCCATTATGGGGGCAGCTATGTTCAGCAGTGGACAGCTAACGGCTGATACAACAACGACACCACAATTCTGAGCAGCGCACTGGCGAGTGTGAAGTGTGATTTTGCCCAATACTATGTCGCCGGGGGGAAAGGGATTGTTAGTAATGGAGACTGAGAATCCTATTGCTAGCAATATACCCAACCAGGTCGACCTTCTCGCGGTTCTCCCTGGAAACTATTATGGTTAATTCCTGATGAATTCATCATGATGGGCTAACTGGCCTGTTTTCATTCTCATCTGTCACACTTCACTGGTGCTCCGCCAGCGTATCTCGTTAGCACAGGCAGGGGTTACCACACCATTTTCACCCATCAAAAAAAATACTATGTCGCCTAGTATGTGGGTAGTGTATGGGTACACTACCATCTGACTCACTGTTACCACAATGACTCTAAGTCTAATGAACACCATGATTAAGATTACTAGCTGCGCTTTTTATTATAGGGACTTAGGGGTCTGTTTTTTTTAATGGAATGGTAATTTCGTCTGCGCTGGGCAGACGGGGCACCACTAAGGGCTGATAAGTGAGGATGAAAACAAGTCAGTTGAGCGATAGATTTTATGTAATAAAATATTGTGGAAGTAAGACGTGTAAACATACGGTCCGTGTAAATTAATTTAAAATACTATTAAAAAGTTGATTTTCGGTAGTGCAACTTATACAAAAACATTTATTAATTATCAAACTTACATTCCATTGCAAAATTACAACTTAATATTGTAGAAGTGTAACAGAGAATAAAAATACATTAACAACTTATGAATTCCGTTGCGTTCATGCAGTGATTTTAGTGTAACGGTGAGTCATCGCTGCAGCAGCGCAGTCACGCATTTCTACCTACCTGTTGATGTTGAGCGGCCGTTCAGGAAATATAATTTGTTCATTATTTATAACTACCTACATATTGAGTATTTGTAGTTTAATTATACTACGTTATAACTTCAGTACACGTGCAAATCTATTAAAATGGCATCAAAGAAAATATCTTGTGCTGGATGTCTTAATATCATAATGGGCAAACTGTATCTTAAATGCCATACGTGTAGAGATATTTATGACTTATCGTGTGCTAATGTTTCTGAAAAACGGTTTAACAACAATATGACCAAGGAACATAAACAGGCTTGGGTATGCCCTGCATGCCGAAATAAACAACCTAAGGGAGATAATACCAATACACCCATACGTCAAGGGAACTTAGGAAACCTAAACAAGTCTTCTGATAGCGAGGATTCTCAGAGCAGCTATGTCACTCAACGAAAAAAGCAATCAACATCGTTGTATTCGCATTCTGAAGATGAATTGAGAAGACTCATCAAATCGGAAATGCGAGCTTCGCTGCGTGAGGAGCTTCCTGATCTGATTCGCCCAATGTTAGAAAAAGAACTATACCCCCTTAAAGAAAGACTACAAGATCTTCAAAACACAGTTCAGTATATAAGTAATCAGTATGAAGATTTAAACAAGACAATATCAACATTGTCATCGGACTACAATAAGATGAAATGTCAATGTGATAATTTGGAATCCACAGTACTATCTTTAACGGAACGCATTAATACTATAGACCAAAATCTAAGAGATTCTAATATTGAGATACAGGGAGTCCCCGAAAGTAAAACAGAAAACCCGCTTAGTATTATTAAGAAAATTGCTGAAACTGTGTCTTACAACCTTTCTGACACTGATGTTTTGAATTGTACAAGAGTTGCCAGTATGAATAGGAATAGCAAGCGGCCAAGAGCTATAATCGCAAAATTACGAAGTACACGATGTCGTGACGAACTGTACTCTGCCATTGCTAGATATAATAAGTCTCATCCCCACAATAAACTTAACTCATCAAACCTCGGTATCAGTGGTAATATTGTGCCAATATATGTATCGGAGCATCTTTCTCCTTTTAATAAATCTGTGCATGCTGCAGCCAGACTCAAAGCGAAGGAATTAGCTTATAGATTCGTGTGGGTACGAAATGGACACATATTTATGAGAAAAAACGAAACCTCACAATTTATACATGTTAAAAATTTGCAGGTGTTAGAGAATCTGCAGTGAATTTGTAGTTTATAACTTCGTAGTGTACTTTTTGTTTTGTTTTTTATTTTATTTTTTTGTAATTATCTTTTTAAAATGAATAAGATGGATGTAACGATTTATTATCAGAATATCAGAGGTATGAAATCTAAAACGAATGATATTTATAAAACTATTATCTGTAATAACTATGATATAATATGTCTATGTGAAACTTGGCTCGATGATACGGTATATTCAGCAGAAATATTTGACGAACGGTATAAAGTTTATCGTAAAGATAGACCTATTGAATTTTTAACAAAATATAGTAAAACCCATGGTGGAGGAGTGTTAATAGCAGTAAATAAAAGTATTTTATCGGAGTGTAGATATGATTGGAATTCGTCACTTGAAGATGTATGGGTTAAAATTAAGCTAAAACATATTTCTTTAAATATTTGCACAGCTTATATGCCTTCATATATTGCGAGTGAGCAATTCTTTGACTATCTAGAAATTTGTGAAGAAAGAATGTTATCGTCGTTTGGTGAACATTTTCTTATTATAGGTGATTTCAATCTACCAGATTATGAGTGGGATAACACAAAAAATTTTAAAACTATTAATGAGAAATATTTGCTTATGAGAGACTTTGTATCTCGAACTTCACTCGCTCAACGTAACTTTACTTTTAACAGCAATGGGAAGCTTCTTGACTTGGTATTGGCAAGTACTGACTTGGTATGTAAGGTGATGGACGCGCAGCCACTTAGTCGTGTCGATATTTACCACCCCCCTTTAGAGATTAATATTACCGCAGACAATACTTCATCATTAAAGGAAAATATCATTAAAAGATTTAACTTTCATAAATGCAATTTTTTAGGTTGTACAGCGGATCTCTCGAAAGTCGAATGGCATAAATACTTGAATCTTGATTGTAATAATTTCTTACAGTTATTTTATAATGTCCTATGGGAAATTATAGAAAAATATACTCCCGTGGCCAAATCTAAAAAATCCAAATATCCGTCCTGGTTCTCTCAATCCCTGATAAAACTATTAAAGGAAAAGGATAAATATCATCGCAAATATAAAAAGTTTAGCAACCCGCGTGATTTTGACACGTATTCGTTACTAAGATCCAGATCTAAAGAGTTATTTGATAAAAACTTTAAAATTTACATATCACAAATGGAAGAGAATATAAAGACTAATATCAAAGCATTCTGGAGATATACTAAGGCTAAAAAATTAACAAACGATCTTCCAAACCAAATGTTTTACAAAGAGCAACGTGCAAACGATGGTTATAGTGTTGCTAATTTGTTTGCAAGTTATTTTTCTTCCGTTTACAGCCAGTCTACCGCCAAGTCATATACCCCAAAGTTTTCTCAGGCAACGCAATGTCTGTCTCATATTTATATTTCAAAAGACGATGTTATCAAGTCATTGAAATCTATCGATGCTACTAAGGGTGCAGGGCCCGACGGAATACCGCCAATATTTGTTAAAAATTGTGCAATAGCATTGGTTGAGCCTCTAACTATATTATTTAACAAGTCGTTGTCATCGGGAAGTTTCCCTGATTTGTTCAAAATTGCTAAAATTGTGCCAATACATAAAACAGGCTGCAAAGCAGATATAAGTAGCTATAGACCAATAAGCATTCTTTCTTGTTTTGCTAAGATCCTGGAAGGGCTAGTGTATAAACATATCTATTCTCATCTTAGGCATATTATTGATTCCAGCCAACATGGCTTTATAAATAATCGTTCCACATTGACAAATCTTCTTGAATATATCCATTATATAAACGTAGCCTTTAATAACAAAGTACAAGTTGATTCAATTTATGTGGATTTTGCGAAGGCTTTTGATAGGGTTGACCATGAGATACTTTGCATCAAAGCACATCATTTGGGTATTCATGGCTCACTTTTGCTTTGGCTTAAATCTTATTTAATGAATCGTCCGCAAATCGTAACTATTTACGGCTATGATTCAGTCCCGTTTGAATTAAAATCTGGTATACCCCAGGGCTCTAATTTAGGCCCTCTATTATTTATTTTATTTGTCAATGATCTTCTCCAAACTTTAACATGTGAGCATTTAGCCTTTGCTGACGACATAAAGATATATCGTACGATAAGTTGTGATCTAGATTGTGAAATACTGCAGCGAGATATCAATCGTTTGCATCAGTGGTGCATTGATAATAATATGAACTTAAATATATTTAAATGCCACGTCATATCTTTTACTAAAAATAGAATTCTTATAAGTTATCCATACTGTGTTAATAATATGCGTTTGGAAAAAAAGGAATCCATTCGTGACTTAGGTATTATACTTGACTCAAAATTATCATTTATACAACACTATGATTATTTAGTTGCAAAAGCAAATAGAACTCTAGGGTTTATCTTTAGAACAACTAGACCTTTTAAAAACTCGCATGCTATCTTGTCACTCTATACATCACTAGTTAGAAGTTCACTTGAGTACTGTTCTGTTATTTGGTCTCCTTTTTATCAGAACCACATTGACAGAATAGAAGCAATTCAAAAACGCTTTGTTAGATTTTTGAGCACTAAGTATGGTCTGAGAAGGAAACTTCATTCGTATGAATTAAGACTTAATCATTTTAACATTAATTCTCTTATAAATAGAAGATCTATGTCTGATTTCATTACTCTTTATAAAATAATAAATTATAAATGGGACAGTAGCACATTGTTGAGCCTTGTTTCATTTCGTACAGGTAATAAAAGAATACAAAAATTATTTTATATACCGATTTGTAACAATAATGTATCGTATCACAATCCAATTATCCGCATGTGCAGAAAATATAACAATGTATGCAAGGACCTTGATATCTTCCAACAATCCTTGCAATGTTACATTAAGGCTGCCAATTTGTTACTTTAAATTTATAGCCGTCATTCTTTTAATGTATATAATATCAAATGTTATGCAGAGCAGTTATTGGAGTGCAAATTTAATGTCGTTTCATGTAATATTTATTTTATAAATGTATTAATTTGTAATCTGTTGCCTTGCTATAAATAAATAAATAAATAAATAGTAAAGAATTAATCACAATAGTTTGCAGGAAACCACGTAACGGTTGATAGGGTATAATGCTAACTAGACTTTACCTTTATTAACAATTCCTTTCCCCCAAGGGGGCTTGTTGTAATACAGAGAAATGCAGTAGAATTATAAACTACGAGTAGTATTCTTTGACTATATTCGGGTCGTTGTATTATAGTGCGGATGAAAGCTGGCATTTAGATAGTTTTTTACTATAAAAGAAGGATTTTAGAAGTTTCCCAATTATACGTGTTTTGGTGAGTCTGTGCATGTTGTAGCAAAGTATGGGTAACAGATGACTTTTTGACTGATTTTATTGTTTTTTTTTTTTATTGTTAGGAAGGAAAACAAGCTGATTATGGAAGGAATAAAGCTGACAATCCGCTTGATGTAAAATCGGCTTCGTTCTGCCACGAGCACGATAATAAGAGCAATACAAGGAGACTTGTTAGGAGTCCGTTGTCGATCTTTTTTAAATTGAAATCAAACCAACCTAATAAATTATAATTGATATTTTTTACTATTAAATATTTTATGAAATGTGTAAATTGTTTTTTAATATTTATTAAATGGTTATAATAATACGCTAGTTATTTATTTAACTCTTTATTACACCAGAAACATAAAAATAAACCATGACGTAAACAATGCAAGTGAAATACAGTAGCATAAAGTATTTACACCAAGCAATAACGCGTATAGTCATTAAATAATCTTGAAACAGAAAGGCGCTGTATTAAAATTGGGTATCTACTTTCAACAAGTTTGTGTACTAATTATGTATGTATACACTACGTCTGCTATTTTTAATACACAAAAATGTCGGATGTTATATAATACGGAATTATACCAATTACCTGTATGTTCCTCTGGTCTGTTTTTACAGCTGAATATTAGGTAGGTATTGAAAAGACGAGAATTTACCAGATTTAGAGAAAGCCATTTTATAATTATTATTACCAAAAGTACCATAACCTTCCATATTAGCCATCAATCTCCGACTTCCTTTTTTACTTGATCTTTCTCGACTTCAAATAATGGGCTTCCTCAAAATAACACGTAATTCGAAAGAAAAAGTTGAAAAATTTACATGCGAACAATGCGTCTTCTCAGATACGCGTGTGCTCCAGTTTCAGCACGGAAGGAATATTATCAGTTAATAAATATAAATGACTTATATTCATTTTTATCAGAGTGAGACTTTGTACACAGTCGACTTTATCTCACTGATTTCTATCTCTAAACAGCTTGTTCGCTTGTTTCGTTTTAGTTAAAAGTCACCGAAGGGTCAAAGGGCCGGATTCAGGGATATAAAATTAAAAAATATTATTTTTTACAAATTATTATTTTTATTCAAAGCTATTTCGGATTATACATGCTATATGCTGATATAGGAGGCGCTCTTTTTTAACAACACGCTCCATTTCAAGCTACGCCAGAATTAGAAATTTTTAAAATTAGAATGCATAATTATTCTCATACTATGCATATTTATCAAAATGGCCGACACTCGGTGAAAATTAATTAATATCATTATTTACTTTTACTTGTAACTTTTTGTTAAATCAATGTCTTATCGTTACCAAAATTAAAAGATTAAAATATCTATTTTCTTTTAATACATTTAATTTTTTCCAATTATAATTGATTTTATGATAACATATTTTCCAAAAAAGACGAGCTGTAAATTATGTGCGTTCTACATTTATTTAAAAAGATCTTGAATTAATACACCTAGTTTTTCTGAAGCGACAAATAAACAGGAAGGATTTAAAAATTCAAAACTGAATTAATCAAGTAATTGACTTCTGCGTCATAAATGGCGTTCTCATGATGACGTGAAGACCGACCTCTGTAACTGGTTGATGATGCGGATGACCATTGATGAATAGCCAAGCTTGGGCTCGTGAGGGATTGTTAGTAATGATGTTTAATAGGCCCCTTGCGGGGGGAAAGGGATTGTTAGTAATGCGGACTATCAGTCCCATTGCTAGCAATATACTCTATCAGGTCGACCTCCCTGTGGTTCCCCCTGGAAACCATCGTGCTGAATTCCAGGTGTATTCATCACGATAGGCTAACAGACCTGTCTTTTCATCCTCACCTATCATCCCTCACTGGTGCCCCGCCAGCATATACCGCTAGCGTAGGCAGGGTTACCATTCCATTATCATCCATTAAAAAATAGGCCCATTGCTGGCAATACACTCTCTTAGGTCGATCTCCACGCGGTTTCCTCTGGATACCGTTGTGGTTAATTCACGTTCAATTGGTCACTATAGACTAACTGACCTACCTTCATCCTCACCTATCATCCTTTACTAATATCCTACCAGCGTATATCGACAGCGTAGGCAGGGCTACCATATCATATTTATCCATTAAAAAAATAGAAAGAACACACACGCACACCTGCAATGCCTTTGGTGTTGTAGGTGATCATGGGCGGTGGTAGTCACCATCAGGTGAGCCGCATGCTTGTTTGCCTCCTGTGTTGTAAAAAAAAATAGCCAAGCTGTCGTGCAATAGTTGTCGCGGAGATATCGAGACAACATGTAAAACTATTCCAAATTTCAAATCATATAACATTAATAATTGCTGAAATATACCGCTATAACAGAAGAATAGATAAATAAATCTGCACCATAAGGGTTCCCTTGTGCCTTTTTAATACAGAACCCCAAAAAAGGCATGGATATAAATGGAATAGGTGTATGGAGAGGTTTGTAATAAAACGCATATAGTTAGTTCCTTAGTTCCAAACTATTTAATACTGTAACAAAACAACCATCACTATCTAAAATAAGTAGGTCGGTACATAATACCATTACATGTATAACAATGTAGGAATGCTTTCCTTCTGTACCAATATTTACGATGTTCACAAGCTCACGTGTAGTGCAGCTTCTTTTTTATGTATATCATAAACGTTTCAAACAGTATCTTTGACAATTACAAAAGTATTATCACACAGAATTGACGTTTAGAATTAGAAAACTAAGTATTCAGAAATTGTAATTTTAACAAAAAAAAGTTAGTACTAACAGTTCATTTCAGGGCAAGGACAAATCCAAAAATATATTTTCGATAGCTGACTGCTTATTTAAAAAAATATATTTTTACTTCATTGGATTACCAATAAATATTCGTTACGTCTCTGCTGACAGAATCGAACATGTAAAGGATATATCTCCTAAGTGATCATGACGCTCATAGCCATCGGAGAAAACAGCATCCAATTAATGATGTCCAATACTTACCTAAAAACTACAGAATGATAATAAAGGAATCAGGCAAAAGGGCCTACATTCGATAACAATCATTCTATACAATAAATGATTCTTCATGGCTTATGTCTTACGTAATTAAAATTATTTAAACTATTCGCATCACATCCATTCACACAGATGGTTTACAATAAATATCAGAACCTGACTCACATGAAAGGAACATTACGTGTTTATTTAAACTACTAGTGAATTGTTTTCTGTCGTTGCAACGTACAGCTGAAGATGTTTTGTGACAAATTAATAATTTTTCACCAAAGACAAAATATCCAGTCTTGTAACTCAATTTAATGTCGGCATGCACTTGATTTGACATTTGCTCAAAATTTCCATGGACCTAGATCGATGACGAAGAAATTTTATAAAAATAAATTTAAATCAAGGCAGCATGAGTACAACTTTATTTTTAGAATTACTATAACTTTAATCTTGAATATAACATATTATTCAATTTATTCGAATTATATGATCTCAAGAATAGATCTTACGTGAGTCTATAGACATATAGGTATAACCTACAAGTTTAAATGCTTTTACATTTTTTTTAAAAACAAGCTCGATATGATAATCTATACTAAATAATGGTGTAATTACACTAAATGAACAAAGGACATAAAGTAAGATATAGAACAGTTTTAGAGATAGGACGTGTAAGTATACAGAGCAAAAAGTGCAAACAAGGTATAGAACAGAATTTGTTTGTTCTGTCCTCTGAAATGAATCAGAATATGGTTCCAGTTTAGATGAATTATCATATCTCTGGGTACCATAATCTGCTAGAATGATCTTCAGTTCTTGGCTTGCACTTTGTTTGTTCATAAGTCATCGTATTAACTGTGTTAAATTAAATTGTTAGGCAGCTATATAACTACGTAGTGCTTACTTGCTCTGTGAAGTTACCATGTCGACTGCCTTCTAGAATAAACGCGTCAGAATTTTTCGTGAAAAGCAATAACAAATTGATGTACAAGTGAATTTTCTTTATAACGTTATTCATGGGTGTAATAAAGCAATGAAATAATACTCTTAGTACGTTTACAATACATAAGGCTATTCTAGTTCTTATCCTATGCTCTTTGTTCGTTTGATGTAACTGTACCATAAGCCAATATATTTTTGGTAATGAAAATGCCTATATCATATCACGGTGCGTCTACTATTAAACCCCAAAATTGTAACACATTTCATGTAAAAAGCGGAACAAGCTAAAACGTGGTCCAATAACATGCCAATACCTACTCATACCTAATTTATTTCCTATTTTAAAACAAACAAATTTTTTGAAACCTATATTTTCTTATAAATAGCTGTTTCAATGCCTTTCATTAAACCTAAATTGTATCACATTTCAATAATGCACTAGAAAAATTCTCACACATTTTAATAATTACATTTCTTATTTCTAAATGGCTACAGAGTTTCGGGGCTAAATAACAATGAGAAAATATATTGACTATACTCAACTTTACCGTTTTGAAATAAAACCTAATATAAATAGGTGTTAATCTCAAGGAACAGTAAGGACTGCAAAAACTCAAATAAGAAATCGTCATCAGATTTAATTTAGTTATAATGTATAAAAAGATATTAAACAACTAAAAGCGAATTAATTATAAAATCTTAGCCATTACATCTGATGTTTCTTTATATAGAATTTCGTCATATACCTATGAATTAGTCTTACGGAACTTTTATTAGTCTTCACCTTGTATAATATCCAAAATACTGACATAGGCACCTGTTAGGAAACCAAGGATTCCGAAACAAACAAGGAATATGTTTTTCCAGAGAACCCAGTTAAAACGACCAAGGCCGTTTGGTCGATCCCAAAAGGTGACAGTTTCGATTATTGATGGGAATATCAGGCCAAGGAAAGAGAGGCATACAGCACCGACTAAAGAAATAAAAGGACCTAAGTTCGGAATGGCAATGGCTATACAAAGTGTCATCACGATTAATGCAATCCTAATACTGTATTCAGCAAAGTTCTTCTTTGCTCCAAACCAGTGGCGAACGTTTTTCCAGATTATCTCCATCGGCACGTAAAACTGTAAGCTGTAGGTGAAGAATATCGCAACAGCAATCATCAACTTCACAGACTGGCCCAATCTGAAAAGAAAAAAATTGATGTAGTCTTAGTTTTTAATGGTAGTAGTCAAGGAGTCCTTTCGAAGTCGATAAAGCAAGAAATGTATGGATGGACGTATGATACTCGGTTATCTTATTATTGATGACTTAAGTCATTTGTATCTAGATACTGATTGTTATATCTATCCAAATGCATTAACTCGCCTTTGTAGTAGATATGTGGATCTTCAGTAATAGTAACCAGTAATTTCACTTATCCTAAAGTCTTCTAACTATTTAATGAATTACATATTTAGTATCAACTCAGGATCTCATTACTTGTATTATCTATCTGCTTTACTAAATATTTGGAAGTGACCAAGTCTTGAGCTGTGTAAATCTCAGCATATAATAGGCCTACCCCTCCTTTCCCGTGGGCGTCACAAGAGACAATTAAGGGAGCTCATGATGAAGGGATGAGCAGCAGCGTCCCTCTTAAAACATCACCAAAATTCAAACTGCGGTTACCAACCCGCCTGCCAAGCGTGGCAAACTACAAAACCCCTCAAGGGGTAAGCTTATGTTCAATGATGATGCTCGTTGGCACTATTTGATTTGTTAGTTACGTATTGGTTATAAAAATTATGTCATCTTGATTCTAAATTAATAATAGAATGCATCTACAGAATGAAAATAGTATTGCTTATGTGGATGCACTGATGGCACGGTATATTTTATATGATAGTGATTATATGATATGATAGTGTAGTTTGCTTTTATTCATCCTTTAGATAGATCTTATTTGTCACCACGTATTTTGACTCTTCTGTAGCACAGCTAAAGTGATGAAAGGAGAACGGGGAGAAGGCAAATCTTAATCATTATTTTAAAGTAAACGTTTAAAAATATAATCCATATAGAAATCTTCATCATATTGTGTACCTAATAAAAACTCCATTTTAAATAAAAAATATTATTGAATATTATATCATATGCTATATGATCGAATCGCCTATTTCGATATGGCAGTATAGAGAAGATTTCAATGTGAATTATATCTTTAACCGTACTGTAAGGATATGTAAAATGTTATACGATTTTAGGTCAATCAACTTACACTTCGTTTTCCGGAAGGTTTAACGTGATACTGCTCGCAGTGTGTTCTCCGTATTTCAAATATCCGAAAAATCCAACAAAGGCATATAGGGAAACTACAAAGAACATTCCGGTGTTAAGAACGCCAGGACATCCAATGAAGTGGGTCGGAGTCTTCATGTTGTTTTCAAGTGGCATAACTACACCAATTCCTTCCAGAGCGAAGATGGCAGTTCCAAAGAAGGTTGGCAGTCTCTCAATTCCAGTAAATGGCAGCCTGTCATGTATGCTTGGAATATCTTGGAATAGATAGTAGAAAGTTATACCCATTCCGGTACCAACAAGAAGGTTAGCGATCATTGAGAAAGGCGCCAAATATTTCAAATTTCTCAGAAGGTTCATCAAAATAAGTAAAGGTAATAGTGCCACCATGTACACGCGAAGAGGTATATCGTGGTACTCTGAGTCTTTTGTATAGAAATCAACCACTTGCTTGACGTTTCTGGAGACGAATACGATGTATACACAGCAGCAGCCAAGCAGATCGATCACCAGGAACCAGTTAACCATAGCCCTGAAACACATATATAACTTTTATAGGTATTTTTGAACAAATTGTTTGATTTATAGTAAAGATGTGAATAAGAGCGAGAAAAATTAGTTAAATATAATAAGTTCATTCGAACAATATATGAAATTGATATGAATGGTCAATCAAAGAAATAAAAAAGACAAAAACCCAATTACAAATTGGACAATTCATGAATTGTATGAATTCTCAAAATTTAACTGTCGTATAATTGCACTAGATGTTTATGTACTTACTTGGCCAGTCGAGAAAACTTATGCACAGCGGGTGGCCCAGAAAGAAAGGCGGCTTCTGCCGTCTCTGCAAAGCCTAGAGATGGTTTTTGTATTCTTCTACAGAGCTCATGAGCAGTCTTCACCAGTATATGCACGCAGTATGTACATATACCACCAATAGCGAATGTAGCCACCAAACCAAAGAAGAGGCCAGCGTTGAGGAATGCCATGGGCATTGCTAGAATACCGCTGCCAAGAGATCCTTTCAGCAAATGAATAAGGGTGTCCATATCCCTGGAAACAATATGAGATGTAAATTAAGTTTAATACGTATAAAAAGAATTTCGAAAACTAATATTTACGATGAATAACAGTTGTAGAATTTTAAAGAAAGAGAATGAAATATTATCACGTTACACGTTACGTAACGTACGTACCTACGTACCAACGTCTAATAAAATTATTTTCTCTATGATATCTTTGTAGCGTTTCTTGTAGTGTTTTCTACTTTAAGCTTTCAGCTATAATCTTTAAAATAAATAATATAATATATTTATTATTTTTTACAGATCAGAGGGAGACTTTGTACAAAAGTCGTTTGCTTGGGCACCTCTGTCCTATTCGTGTTTCTATCGTGAAGCAGTTGTGTTTACATGGTTGTGTTTCGGTTTGGAGGGTGGGATATGGCGTGAATTTACTGGGTACAGAGGAATAACATGAGTCCTCAAGAATGACAACACATGGGGGGTGTCATGGGCGAAACAGTGCATTCTGTTATGTCCATGGTACTGCTCATGTCTATAGGTGACAGTTACCACTTTCTATCAGGTGGGCCGTCAGCTTGTTTGCCATTCTAAGTTGCATAAAAAAAATTGAATAGAATGGAAAAATAACACTTACGATGTGGGATGGGCGAGTTTTCTGTGTTCGAATGGATTATAATCCTCATCAGCCTCAATGTCCCGGCCTGGTATCTCCATAAGGGGGAGAGTAGACCCAGCCTGTTGTTCCACTGGGATCTCATTTGGGTCAACTTTGTACCTGTGAAACATTCCCCGGACACTGTTATAGTTAATGATATGGCTATTGCATGAAATAACTAAATAAATGATGTAGATAGGTTAGAAGTGAGTGGGTAAAAGAGTGTAGTTTCATTCACAATCTGAATTTAAGCATAACTATGTAGTAGTAGCGATAACATATAAAGCGCCACATTTCAAGCTTATGTGATCGATGTGTGAAACGATGTGTGGTCGCGGCGCCGTGATCGTATCGATGATAAGAAATATTTATACGCGAAACTATATTGTGGCTAATATTAATTACTCGCGATTGGTTATTAGATCGTCTAATGTTAGCTGCGTTACTCTGTGTAAGTGTCGTTGTGTAAAGTGTGATACATTTCATTATGGTCTCCAAAATAATATACAGAATTATTAAATTTTTTTTCATGCACTTCACTCTGTTAAGACTTGGCATTTACAAATAACATGGCCCAACTGTAAATTCAATACAGCTTTACGTTGTTAGCGGTGTTCGAATAATTTATTCACTAACAATTTAAGAGTTTTTTTTGCAGTAATCCATTAATAATGATGATTGCAAATAACTGTAAATGCGTATTATAAAAAAATTAAGTGTATAAAAAATAAATAAGTAAATGCTTTACCATAAAGCTAAATCAAATTTGTACAAATAAAAAGTTCGAGAGCCAATCCCGAGCCTGAACAGAGATGGCGCACGAGTACCGGCTGCCAAAGAGCTCCGGTGTCGACGTGGCAACAAAAGGGCGCACGGCAGCCGGCACTCCTACTATACATTTTTTTTTAGTTTTTACCAGAACCAAATAAAACAAATTAAATAAAAATTGAAACCATAAAATGGAATGATGTACCGGTGTATGAGTCCTTTGCAAGATGATCAAGGTCGTCGAACGACTTTAATCTCGTGGAAGCAGCACACGTCTTCCCGGATCGTCTCCGAACGGCGTCGAGCATTTTAGCTCGTTAAAGGAGCAAGTACTTAACAGTCAACATACAATATAAAATACCACGTCAAAACATTTTTCAACAAACATTTATGATGTTTCAGTGCTTGGGCAAGGCCCTCGCCGCACTCCGAAAAGCTCATCAAAGGTATAACCTTTAATTGCAATAATCTCTAACAATACATGGCTATTTGCTTTGGCTTTTAGAAAAAAAACTAATAGATACATTTTTCTTTTCAATTTCCTGTTGAACAAAAATGTCAATATTATTAGTTTCACGACTTAATCGATATTTCACAATCAATTTGTTGAACAAAAAAATGATGTTACAAGCTGTGAAGCATGCTTTTTATGTCGGTCTCATCTCTATGTAGGTACTATGCAGTAAACAAAATTTGATCGTATGTGGTTTACTCGATTACTGATTAATTGAAGTAATTATTAACAACACAGAGGCGATATAAGCTAGTCGATGATCCTTTTCTATTATCAAATGATTTCTCGAACAATGGCATGGAACAAGTTCACTTACTTGACCATAACGACATCTGATAAGTCATTTTTGACTCCTTTTTTCTTGGGGTCATATTCGGCTATCATCGGCCGCATTTGGGGTTTCTGTAACAAAAGAGAATCAACATTATTATACTGAAATAAAAGTACCACTTGAATTTTTTTTTCAAATTGAAACGCTAAGGACCTGATGTAAAGTGGTAATCAATAAAAAAACAATCGTACATCATCCTTAAAGGCCAAGATGAATGCGCATTCTAATATGTTATTGTCAGAGCAAAGCTCCAAGTAGCTTTGATAAAATTGTGTGAGACAGAGGTATGTATGTTTGAACAGTGATAATATTGTAAGTGATTATGTAATATTATACACATCAAGTAATGGTTAATTATAAATATTTTCTTTTAGTTTAATATGTCTACTTATTACTAATATTAAAATTTTCGAATGACAATTGTTAACATTTTATATTATGCCCTTTTTTAAGGCAATGGTAAATATAACGTACAAAACTTTATAATAATTTTTTTTAAATAGTATCTAAAGCCAATTATGGGCTTGTTAACAGCACTACAGATTGTAAACGTTGTTTGTTATGAATTATATTTTTGTGGAGTTATGATGCCATAGTGACGTTGTTGGCCCGATGCTCGCAGGGGCTCGTTCCGCGTGTTTATAGCACGTGACCATTGGTGCTATTTTTGGAAGCTATAAATAACAGACTCCCGTGTACGAATGCGCCCGAGCCGACCGAATCGCGAATATTACGTTGGACGAAAACTTGATTTAATAAATCGTTGATCAGTTAATTCGATTTTATGCTAAATTATTAAATTATGATTTATCTGATCACGATCATTATTAGAAATGTATGCAACAAAGTTTTTAAATGTACTTCAGAATGATCAGTTATTATGGTCTTTATATTCCTAAGTAGGTACATTTGGGGGGAAGGGATTGTTAGTAATGGAGACTGAGAATCCCATTGCTAGCAATATACCCAACCAGGTCGACCTCCTCGCGGTTACCCCTGGAAACTATCATGGTTAATTCCTGACGAATTCATCATGATGGGCTAACTGGCCTGTTTTCATTCTCACCTATCATACTTTCACTGGTGCTCCGCCAGCATATCCCGTTAGCGCAGGCGGGGCTACCATACCATTTTCAGCCATTAAAAAAAAAGTAGGTACATTCGTACTAAATACCGATTTAATTTAAAAGTTTTTGTTAATAATTAATTTAAATCTTTGACATTTAATAAAAATGCTAATTTATAAATAAGAGTGTATTATAAAAATGGAAAATATATTTATTATGTCCATGGTACTGCTCATGTCTATAGGCGACGGTTACCACTTTCCATCAAGTGGACCGTCAACTTGTTTGCCATTCTAAGTTGTATAAAAAAAATCTGAGTAAAATATAAGCTTAAATTATAACTCTATGTTGAATAAATATGCAAAGAATGTTATTTAAATACCTAGAAACTACCCAGTAAAGTAAGTAGCCGATTACTATATCTCTGAAAAGGATCTAGAATGAAAGGGTTTATAGGTAGGTACCCTTTATTATGAGTCAGAAGCATTGAATGCTTCGTGTGCATGCAATCTCTCCCCTAATTTATTTATTTCTCTACATGGAACAGTAATGAATATTGTCAAATAAGAATTAAACTTTAATGTTTGGGTAGTTAAGGATATTTTTCTGTGCAAAATTCGGTTGCAGTAAAAAGCTATTGTATGGAATACTGGTTGCGAATAATAAATAAGAAAGCAGTAGCCAGACATGTATATTCGTCCATTGTGTAATAACTTTACTATGAATATTAGGATATTACTAGACAATTTTACTGTAAGCATGTATGTGAACATATGGTGTGATTTTAATGTGCCTTACAGGTTGGAAGAAGGAAGAAGATTTATATCAATTGAAGAACGGAATATGAGGTAGGTACTATACGAACATTATACATTAGAGCAAAAAATAAGAATATAAAAAAACAATTGATATTTCACAGTACTATTAAATATTTAGAGAATGCAAAATGCCTGATTATCATTCAAGACGTTAAAGAAGAAAATAATATGTAATAATAATAATAATATAATAATATTATATAATATATACGTTAATTCTTTATCTGATTACGTCAGTTAAGTCGTCATGTATGGGATTTAAATATTAAAAATGGTTTACAAAACACATTCTGATGAGATCTTCATCATTCAAGACCTTACACTTTCTATATATAGTTTAAAAATTTTACCACATACTTAAATTGATCATATGTAGATTATATGGATCTCAATTATATTGACAGTGATGCAAGCTAATAAATAAATAGACTAAATGTATTGATTGAAATGGTCAAATGAATTGTGACTTGATTCATTCATCTATTGAGAGACGCATTTTTTGTTTTTTGTTTAAGTGTCGTGATGAATCTTAGGAGACCCTCTTCTTTAATCCCTTTTCTATGAATATTTTAATTAGGTCTCTTTAAATGAGGAGAGTGGACCCTATTATAATACAGTAATATCTACAAGTCCTCAGTCTAAAATTAGGTTGATAGAAATCTGGAAGCTATTTCAACCAACGAAAGATCCTTATTACAAGAGACGAAAAATTCTTCTTTAAACATGTTCTGCATACGAAACATTTTTGAAAAAGCTTTATTATGCTACAGTTATTAGTACCTATAATACGTGACCTACGTGAGACGTCAATCTATTAGCTTCCCATCAAATGTGATGAATAAATTTATCATAACAATTACCACGTCGGCGAACACACCTACTATTTGCACGACTTCTGGGCGTATTTGCTACTCCTTACTCCTGAGTAAATATATAATTCGTGATGATCTATACCATGAATCGTAGCATAGCCTGCACATGACCATGTGAATATTTCTAATAAATATAGTTAAGAGTCAACAATGTTGGCACGACACTATTATACCCGTGTTCAGAATAGTCTAAATAATACCTAGTGTTAGTACTCGTCACGAAGTTCTAATACACTTATAGTATGTAGCGGGAATGAAGTACATATCGGTTGACGGGCGGCTTGTGCGCACTTCTATCTAAACGACGCGCCAAGGTCTTAAAAGGTATAACAAATTCAATCTGTGCTCACCCGGGGGCGTGTCATTCAATGGTTATTGATACTGTGTCTACGTAAGTATTATGTAACCATGCAATTGTCAACTTACGATTGTCATCTTTACCAAATAACATTCGTATAATAGACTGAACACGCTGTCAGGGGTAAGTATTGTATTTGAATTTGGAAACTGTTCGATCAAAGAATTCTATTGTTACCTGACTAAAGAGATAAGTGTTCATGTTTTTGTCAGTGAAGGTGCCAAACACTCATGTATGTATGGTATACAAAAGAGTCCCTAAACTAAGTGGAGGTCTGTATTTTGTTATTTGTTTAGATTATTATGTTTGAGTTTTTGTAAGTACGAAGTTGCACGCAATAGCTATTAGAATACAATTTTAAAAATACCAGGTTCACATAAATTGTGAGAGAAACTGAACAAAACTGAAAGTTACATGCACTTTACCGAAGTAGGTATTAATTATATTTTTCTCAGCCTTTATGGTTTTTTTTTTTTACAAATATAAAGATACATGGGTACAAATCCTATTTAGTGATAGGTTAATAAAACCTACTGTTATATGAGAAGTTTTTATAGTACTTCCAACATTTTGAAGAAATCTCTTTAGACTTACGTAGAAACAAAATACTCATACAGGGTAGTATAAGATGATAATTTTGTTATTCGTAAGTTTTAGATAATGAAAATATTTTTAGTAATTATATTTTATTTCCTACCTACACATATTTCAGGCTTGACCTACTTTGTTTCCGAGACTGCGTACTATGACGTCAAAAGAGTGAAAGTACTGAAACGCGACTATCTCTACACGACTTCTAACATCTTGGCATAAATTGAGATTTTAGATTTCTATTGAAAATAACTTTACTAAAAGTTTTTAAAGCTTTAGATTCAGGATTCAATCAAATACTCTTCACTAAATAGATGAAATGGTTATCCACTTGTTTCTTCTCCATTTTTCCCCATCAAAACTCATGTGACTTTTTTTAGAATAATATAATTCAGTTATTGTTAATTACGTATTTGTTTTGTTACTCAGTAATGGAATGTTCCATGTCTTATTTATTTATAGTATTACTATATATAATTCCTCGCTGACTTCCTGTAGTATTTAATTGTTTGTGTCATGCTTCAGGTAAATTATTAAGTTTTCAACTAACGAAATTGGCAAAACACACTCATTATTTTACAAACAGATAATTAAATGTAACACGTGTTAAATATAATTTAAATTGTGTATAAAATTCATAATTACGTCAGGCAGATCAAGGAAGGAGTTGGTGTCATGTCTTGTCAAGAGGTGAAGAGACTCGCTGAAAATCGTAGTGAGTGGCAAGAGCTCCATCGACAAGAGCGCAGTTCTTTAATAGTATAGATAGATAAAATTCTTAAAATTTAAATTGGGAACTTGGGAAAAGTAAAAGAATATATATATATATATATATATATATATATATATATATATATATATATATATACCATGCACGTTTTGCAGTATAATGCTCTCAAATTGTTTTCAATTGAATCGCAAAACAGATTGCAAATGACACTCTGCCGGATCACAGTGATTTAGTGCTTGAATGATGAAGGGGAGGCGAGGTTAGTATAGTGACCCATAGTCAAGAGGTAATTCATAGCGTCACTGATGCGTCAAATAACTTTCAAACGCTTGCTAATTTATTGTACAATTCCCTAGTCACGATTAATTAATGTATTAAAGAAAGAATAGACATTGTTCACCGAGGGAAGAAAGTGATCAATTAATTAAACACTGTGACGCTCTGAAGATGGAACCAAGGATTTATAAATAGATTTATAAAATTAAACATTTTTTATTTATGCTTAGATATTTGGAAATTCACTAATTGTGATTAATTAGAAAT